TACGTATGCGTAAGGCGAGGGGTCAATATAGCCAGCTTCGCAAAGCCATCAACTCCAGACGCGTAACGCACAACCGTCCCAGGTACCAAATCTGGAGAGCCGGGGTGTGGAGCTCAGCAGCGCACGGGCTACTGGCGGTGGGCGTTAGACCCACAGGACGCAAGCATCTTCGTGCAATGGCTGCCAGACAGATGCGGGCTATTGCCAAAAAGCCGGCGCATCTTACCCTAGTGACCAATGAACAGATCCAGAAGCATCTCAATGCTGAGGACCCCCTGCAGGCGCTCGCTAACCAAGGCCAGAGAATGCATGACGCACTTGAGACAGTTGCAGCAGAGTGCCCCAGCGACATTAGGGCCCTTCCACAGGTCCGGGCGCAGCTCGCGCTGGCTATCAACTCACTCCATTCGATGAATACAGGTGAGCAGCTTCCTGAAGATAAGGAGTCAGACCCTTATACCTGTCCGCATTGCAGTCAGCAATTTCGCACTATCACTAGCCTCCGACAGCATAAGGCATGGAAGCACCCAGAAGATAAGCCAGAACTGCTCAGTTTTGATCCGGCAAACCACGCACTGAAAGGTCTGCCCCAGTGTGCCTTCTGTAAATTCAAATACGGGGCATGGATTGGGCTTAAAGCACATATTGAAAAAGGATACTGCCCTGTTCTTTATCCGGAATGCAGTACTCAGGGAGCCGCGGTCGGCCCCGAAGCAGATACTAGCACCAATCCAAAAGCTCCAGAGGAGGCCACTGCAAATGAGCCGCCTCCCATAGCCCAAAAGCCGGTTCTTGATGTTGCTCGGCAACAAGGCTGGAAAAGTCTGCTAGATGCCGATGTTGTGTCGTCCCTCAAGCAACACTGCTGTGTTTGCAAGCGATGGATCGCCGATCCCACGGCTCTGAAGCGACACATAGCTAGGGCCCACAAGGACGTGTGGGCAGTCACCGCCAACGGCAAACTTGAGGAGCGATGTGCACAGGTCAAGCCCCGACTCCTCCGAAATGGCACCTGCCCGTGGTGTGACAGGTCCTCCCCCTCCAGACATTACTTCCAATGCAATGTGATCTTCCAATGTGCCCTGATAGGACTACGCTGTGAACATGACGACGGAAGTGGTGAGCGTCTTCGGCAACCTACTACCAGGGCTAGCGACGAACATGAGAGAGACCTCGAAACAGCCGAGAGAAATGGACCGGGAGACCGAGAACGCACCGAACAAGCGACCCAAAGCGGCCCGGCGAGGACAGCGCAGGGGAGGCCGGCGACAAATTGCAGACGAGAACCTGAACTCGGTGGTGACGCTCCTGGCAAATCTGTCGCTGCAGCAGGAGGACGCCCTGAACCGTCTACGCCTGGACACATCCTTCACTTTCCACCTCCAGCAACAAGGCCCAGGAACCATATTGCTGCCGCTTTTCAAGGCGGGGCAGGAATGGCAACAAAAACAGAAGAAAGGAGAGAACGTCCCCCCGATGAAAATCGTTGCGCTGGGCCTCCTGCTGAAAGAGGTCGTGGCAAGAGTCCAACTGATGGTGGGAGATCCCACGGCCGTGGAGAATGCGATGAAGCATCAGTGGCTAGACCAGCAGAAGCGCTTCGTGTATCAGGAGTGGAACTCGGCCACCAAACAGGTGGAGCCGTCGGCGACAGCCAAGAGCCTGAAGGTGGAAGAGGCGACGGAGCTCATCAACCAGGTCGCCGAGCTGTGTCTTCCGGATCTGGTCACCAGGTTCTGCGCCCAAAGGCGTCCCAAGCAAGAGCCCCAGGAAGGCGACAAAGCAGTGTTCCTCATCGAAGTAGCCATGCGAGATCCGAGAGCAAACATCCTGCATCAGAAACTGCGACAGTTGGCCAACTGCGCGGTGTGGAATGTGGTGGGAGCGCAACTGCAGCCGCCAAACCAGCAACGCCACGGACTGGCAATGGCACTGCAAAAGGCCCTGGAAAACATCTGAGCGCTGCAGGAAGCGCACGGCCACCTGCTGGTGTGCCGAGTGTCTCTCGCCTCAAGCTTAAAAATAGTGGCAACACTTGCTACATCAACTCCGTCATAACTGCCACCCTGTGGCAAGCACAGCTCAGGCCGGGGAGCCGCATACCCGATGCTTGGCAGAAGGCACTTGCCAAAACGCACTGGGATGCAGCCATGTTTCTCCGCATGTACATGCTAGGCTGGGCGCAGCCCAACAGACAGCATGATGTGAGTGAATTCATACAGTTCATCATCCCTAAGCTTGCTTGGACTGATAGCCTCGTTCACTGGGAGGCGAGAGTTGCGGTTGAGGAGGGATGCACAACTGAAATCAGGGAGCCCGCTGCACCATTGCTACTTCTGGCAGCACCTGGAGGTATCCAAGACGGGGAGCTGGACACCCTCATCCTTAGCTGGCACCTGCAGGCCCAACCGCATGATTTTCCTTGTTCTACCTAGATATACCACGACCAATGGTGTCACGAGGAAGACCCGTGTGCCTCTTACATTCAACAATCGCTGTGTCCACCTGCCGATCTTCCGAAATGAAAGCAGCATAGCGTGCGATTGGCTTGCCTATGACCTCATTTCCATCATTGTGCATCTGGGTGAATCAGTTCTCACAGGGCACTACAGAACCGTTGGCTTGATACCGGGCAGGACAGAAGCCTGGTACATGGACGACGGTGTCGCATCGGAAAGGCTTGAAACCTTAAGTCCCGAAATCCAGTCCAACTGTTATGTGCTTGGCTGCATCCGCAGGCCCCCTGCTGGGGAAGGCGGATCGGCCTGACGATGAGAGCTTATTTTTCTCACAAAAGTGGGGGTGCACCCCCATCTAGGGTGCATGGGGGGACAGGCTTGCAACCCTGTCTGAATCTTTGTCTCTGTTCCTATGTACAGGGAAGGCACATGTGAAGCCGACCTTTCGGCCACAGAGCCATGATACCGGCACTTCATGTCCGGGTCGCCCTGATAAGGAGTCTTGAGTGATGAGAAAATGAGATAGCTACACTCTCCCTGAGTGTTTTTGTGCTCTTCTTCTTTAGTGTACCGAGTCCTATTCTCAACCATGTCACCATATGCAGTCATGCGTTGCTCCATCAGCACAGGGGTGCCGCACCCTCATCGGCCCCAGGACATCTGCGGCACAAGTGTGCCCACACTGTTTAGCCCTGTGAGTGAGCGAACTGTGAGACCGGCCGTAGAATAGTATCCCTTGTACATACACCGTCCTTTTTGAGTTTGCGAGCACGTGTTTCTTTCCTGTTCACGGTAGGTCCAGGTAGGCTCTGTTGCGCTTGAGACCGTTTTGCCTGCAGTCTAGTTGAACTCCGGTTCCTGCGGGACGTCTCTTGCTGTCCATACCCGAAGCTGTTAGCCGCCGCCACAGAGCGGCCGTGACATATGTCATGAACTACAGCTAGCTAGTAGGTCAGACCAGACCGCTGCGGAATCGAGTTCGAGTGAAAACTATCATGCGAGCATTGTGTTTGCAAATGGGGGTGGCTGCGCCCCCACTCCTGCTTCTGCTAGGACTCTCCCCCGCTCCCAACCCCCCACCCTGTGGTGGTGGAGGGTCTTGGGGTTGAGGATTTAGGTCTTTCGGGTCGAATGAGGGTTTTCGGGTTTTGGGTTTAGGGCTTTGGGGGTTTGTTTAGGGTTTCAGGTCTTAGGGTTTTGGTTTTTCGGGCTTTAGGGTTTCATGGTTTTGGGTTTTGGGGTTTTCAGGTTTGGTTAAAGGAAGGGAGAGGGTGTCATTCTTTTCCTTTGTACATGCGCCTTTTTTGTGCTCGTTGGGAAACAAGTCCTACGAAAGCACGAAATTTACAGGAACATAAGGTTTGTGTTTGCAAAAGAAATCTGTTTTGTTTCTTTCCGTGCTTTGGACGGACCGGGTCAAAGGAAACCTGCGCGCAGCATGCTATAGCATGCTTTTTCCTACCGTCATGAGTATTCCCAGCATCTACAAAATCGAGCACTCTCGATATCTCTCAATGGGATGTCTTGACATGAGTATTTTGACATGCAGAAGCACTTGCCTCTTGACGCATTGGTGCACTGTTCTTAAAGAGCCACAAACCCGAAAACACAAGTTTTTTCAACGCGGGGCCCACAGTTCCACTGCCTTTTGAGTGGCAGTGGTGGACTTTATAACTGCAGACACGACTGCAAGTACTACAGTATGTTTAGGCGGGCGCGGCATCTCAAGCGGTCATCCAAGCCGTTCCACATGCTACACTCTTAGAAGACGCCTCATTTAACAAGCCGCTCAAGATGACACACTTTTATAGGGTCGTTCATAGAATTATCAAAAGAGCCACTTTAAATGACACACTTTTAGAGGATGTGTCCACACAGATTAACAAAATGAATGAAAAAATCCTCAACCCACAAGACCGGCCTTCCAACGTTCAAAAAACAATTCAAAAACAGTTGAGAACAAAGAGAAACCCACAAGACCGGCCTCTGAGAAAAAAAATCAGTTAAGAAACAAACTTGGAATTCGCATGTTCCCTAGACAGCAATTCTTCATTGGAATCAATTTTTTAAACAAAGAAATCTTAGAAATAATTTGATTTTTGAAGAAATTGGACTTTTGTAATTTGATGTTTAGCTCTGGAAGTTGAGTTGGTAAAAATCTTAAATAAAATTGGAATAATGTTTTTTTTTCAAATTGAAAAATCTGCACTGTCCTTCACATTGACTGAAGAGAGCGAGGGACGGAGGTCCTAACTGTCGCTCTCTTCAGCCGATGTGAGGGAGGGAGGGAAATGACCCTGCAGAGGAGGGGGGTTGGGTTTGTGGAAATGCTGCCCATTTTTTTTTCAGGTTTCTACATTCTTCTCACAAGATTAAGCTTGCAAAATTCTGTTTTAGATCTTGTTTAGAAGATCCGATTTAGCATTCAGTTGACTTTTCAAGCATTTTTATGCAGATTCTGCAGCATTTTATTGCTCCATTGGAAGCATGGCAAGAACAGCCGCAATGAGTGCACGTTGGCAGTCAGGAGGGCAAATCACAATGGGTTCTGCTGGAAGGGACAGACGAGTTCGATCACAGCCCAAGAATCGAGCCAGGAAAAGTCGTCAGCCTGGAGCTCGAGATGAAGACTCACCTGTCGAAGCTACAGAAGCCAAGACGAAGCCTCAAAAGCGACCAGCAAGTGCCCTTCAGGAACATTTTGAATCTCGCCAAGTTTCTTCTTCATCATTGCCATCTCGACCCTACACAGATCCGGGACAAGAAAGTCCAGAAAGAAAAAGAGGTCGGCAAGCCAATTTGTCACGTTCATCCTTGTGGACTCGTTTCTCTTTGGACGGAATCCTTTGTTCAAAGCCAGCAGAACTGCTGGAAATGTGCGTGGACTTGGGTTTGCTGCATGATGGCCGACTTGATCCATGTGAGTGGTGCGAAAGCACAAATTGGCGATTTGAAACCAAGGGTGACCATGCTTCTTACAGATGCAAGACAAAAGATTGCAGATGCTCCAAATCTGCATTGACACATGACCAGGACCTCTTCAATAAGAAGTTAGCCCTGCGGTCGTTAATTGGTGCCCTTTGGCTTTTCTTATCACCGATCAATCTCAGCCCAGATCAAGCCGGTGTCATACTTGGTGTGGATCATCGCACTGTTCGGGAGCTGTTTCGCAACTTTCGCAAGTGGCTTTCACCCATCATCGACAGGATGAACGAAGAGCTCATTCTTGGAGGAGCTGGCATGGACGTCGAGTTGGACGAGATCAGCTTCAGAAGCAAGGCCCTGGATGACAAGGTTTCTTGGCTTTATATTTGTTTTTGTTTTTGTGAATGACTTGTCGAGTCGAGCCAGTTTCGAGGTTTCATTCATCATCAGATTCGCAGTGAGGTTTTGTGGCTCCGGTACATTGCCATCGTTCGCAGAGGAAGCGCCAAGGTTTTCATCCACAAGCTTCCAGACAAATTGACTGCGTCCGGACAAGGTGGAGGGGGCCCTTTGACAATCCAGGAGCTGAAGGAGACGATCGTGAACTCCGCGGGAGCCAGCCGAATTGCCATTGGCAGTGTCTGTCACACTGACAGCGCAAAGGCATACAAGAAGCTGGATTCTGAAGAGCCGTTGCCTTGCTTGTACAATGGAGCTTTGGGCGGCCCTTCTTTTGCTCACTTGAAGCTGGCGCACAGCAATGTTCGACACAAGCCGCCCCATCCAGAGTTCACTCGCAGGTTCAAGCTCAAGATCTTTGACGGTCGACAGTGGGTGGAAGAGATCAGGGTTGGAGGCACCCAAAAGTTGGATGGCTTCTTTGCTTCCTTCCGAAGGGAGGTAGGCAAGCGCCCTGTCAACACCACTGGGCCTACTCCTGAGACGGCTGAGGCCATGGAGACACAGCTTCATGAGCGAGTGCGTGTTTTCCAGTTTTTGCATTGGTTTTCGTTTACAGATGCTTTTCAAGTCTTTGCGGAAATGCGCAAGCTTGAGCGTGCTTCTGTTGGCTCGGTAACGTGGGCAAGCTTGGACAGTTTTGGAAAGGGAAAGGCAAAGCCTTCCACTGCTTCTACTAGTGCGCTTGCTGAAGCGAAATCTGTAGAGGAGGTTCCTTCTGTTCTGGTGCCTTCTGCGTGTGAAGAATCGCCTCAGCCGCTTTTGCCTGTGTTTTCGGAAGGCGAGGATGTTCAGAGTGAGCTCTTCGATCCCGAAGAAGAGGAGCCTATGTTTGACAGCAAAGGGATCAGAGTGTTGAACTAGCAGAAAGCAGAAGCTGTTCGAAGTTGGCCTGAGTTTTGTGCGTGCAAAAAGAGCCTCGCGTTTTTGGAGTCGATTCCTGCGACTGGTTGGGCTGTGGGTTGAATCTTTGACCAGTCAGGTAGGTTCAGAGCAAGGCTTCGATTTTGAAGTGGGGCTAGGCCACGGGACAGCTTCTTTGAGGATGTAACACATCGAGCGGCGTGGCCTGCAATTGCTGCGAGGCCCTTTTAAAGAAGTCGCGGCGCTTGGAGCGGCGTGTTGGTGGCAGCATTTCCACGCGGAAGAAACAGGGTTTACCAGGCAGACTGTGGGTCCCGGTTTGCTAGGCTACGTACAGCTCCTTTGAAGACGTGACACCTCGAGCGGCGGACCGCTAGTTGCTGCGAGGCCCCTTAAAAGAGGTCGCGGCGCCTCGAGCGGCGCGGCTGACGCCGCGCCGCCCTGCGGGCGGCGCGGCGTTTTGAGCGGTTAAAGTTAACCGCGCGCGACGCCGCGCCCGGCGTTGTTTACTATCCGTCCGTGATCCCGGCTTCGACATGCGAGAACGTGGTAAGGTTCGCGCTCAATCATACGATGTGTGTTCCAAGATGTTCCAAGCAACAACGTGTCAGACCCGTAGGCGCTCAATTTCACATCGTCGAAGGTTGATTGCGAAGCGAATCTTTTCCCCGTGGTTTGCTGTGTTGTAACTAAGTTGCATCGCCAATTTGGATTTTTTTGTCGTGGCTTTGCAAACGGAAGAACAAACCGGTCGTTGTAGCAGTTGGATTGGCACCTGGATATCAAGCACGGCAGTTTTTCTTGCGTGTTAGTTGCACTTTTCATTGCTCTCCGACAAGGGCGTGTTGCTCGGGGCGGGCAAGGGGGGGGCGATCGACGTGCCGGCGAGGTGTACCTGTTCCAGGCCACTGTGGCATTTTGCGAACACAGGTTCCAAGTTTTCTGGCAAAGGCTTGCCATGCTTTCGCCGACCTGGAGGTGGCTGATGAAAGCACTACATTCTCCAGACCGCCCAGAGAAGGACTTGCACATGTTTAGCATATTTATTATTATCATTATTATTATTATTATTATTATTATTATTATGATTATTATGATTATGATTATTATTATTAATGAGCTGCGAGACGTGCATCTTCAGCTCAAGCGGACGATGATGTTGGCTTCTTGGCAGTGGCAGGTCGACATGTCCGGAGCCATGGGGATGATGCTGACCGGAAACAATGGGACAGATCTACACAAAGGCTGCTTGTACAGTGCGAGAACGCAATGCAGCAGGCTGATGTTTGTTTTTTTTTGATCTTTCCCGTTCGTTTTGGCTTCAGGAAATGGGCGGCAGCAGGAGGACTGGATTTTGGGGCCTGTGTCGTGTTGGGCCATTCATTCCGCATCTTTGCGTGCAGGTTGTGGATGGTATGGATGAGGACACATTGGGCAAGGTGGGCTTGGAAGATTCAGCGGGCTTGGCGAACTTGGCTTAGCCGCTTAGCCAGGCCAGAAAAGCTGCGAAAGCACACTTGTATGCACTGAGAGATCACGTGGAACAAGCGATGGAGGCTGGGGCCCTCTGATGTTAAAGTTGCTACAAAGTTTCCTCTTTACAGTTTTGCTTGATGTGATAAGTCTTAGGACACCCTTGAAGGCTTTTCAGAGGCTTGAGAGCGTCGTCTTCATGGCGGCTGAGACAGTGAAGGACAGCAAGTGAAGGATCATCCAGTGATTGCAGCGCATCAAGGTGGTAGCTGTTTGCTGGAAGTCTCTCAGGCAAGTGTTTTGAGGCAGGGGGCATGGTGTGCACTACTGCAGGCAGATCGCCGTGCCCTGATGGAAGACAGAATAGCGACTTAACGAAAATGGGTATTACATTCTTGTGCTGTGTTCACAGGACCTGAATCCTGCTTCTGGTATCGGAAGAGATGCACTGAGGCAGCTGCCAGTGAGCGACACAAGGCGGAGGCCTGTTTGGTCAATCGGGTTGTTGACCTGGTGTTCGTTTGGTACTGCACAAATTCCGGGCTGCAGGCCGAGCTCGTTACGAAGCAGGATCAGATTCGACGGGAGCAAGAGGTGAGCTTTCAAATGAACGTTCACATGCGCGTCCGCATTTTGCATGAGCTGTCGCTTGGGCTTTACCAAGAAGCTTGCGCTTGCAGTTTGCATGCTGTGTCTGGAGTACGGTTCGTTGCAAGCCATGAGTTTGTTCGAGACTGTGGCACGTTGCCCATGGTTGCCTTTCTTGATGACCTGCTGGCTCAAAGAGCTTGATTAGGTCTTCGGCTCATGACGCATCAGAGACATTTGCCATATTGCAAACATGCGGAGGAGTTGCGGCAGGCTCGAGAGCAGCTGGAGCAAGAGCCGCCTCCTCAGAGATGTGGCAAAAGGAGAGAGGCCGCACTCCAGCTTGTGCTGCTTGGGTCATAGGCGCTGGCAGCTCAAACAGCAGCTGCCACCTCAATAGAGATGTACTGTATGTGTGTGTTACAAGTTGAAACGCGCCTATCATGGGCTTGTGCTCAGGCTTCGACAGACGCAGGCCACATGTGCAGAGGCATTCATAGTGCTTACTAGGATGATCTTGTATGAGCTTTTCGGCTGAAAGTCTCAGTAGAAGCCTTCAAGCAAGCAGCAAAACAAGAAGCGAGGAGGCCCTATATATACACATACAGATCATGCGTATGAGCATGCATGCAGGCAAGCATGTATGTATGTATGCATGTATGCATGCAGTTATGTGTGTATGTCTGTATGTCTGTATTGTCTGTATGTCTGCATGTCTGTGTGTCTGTATGTCTGTATGTCTGCATGTCTGTATGTCTAGATTATGTTTGTCGAACTGCATATGCGCGTAGATATGTATATATGACAAATGTTGTATACGTCATTTCGGCATTTGTCTGTACGTCAAGTCAGAGGTCCCTCCGTGATACACGGAAGCATTATGCATGTAAATGTCGATATGGGCGAGAAACTGTAGATATGGAGAATTTTATGCAGATATATCTACACCTGCCCTCTTTCCAGAACTGTGGCGGAAAAAACATGTTTCACATCTGAAGCCAACCTTATCGCACAAGCATAGCCAACGGTCCATTCTCTGCCCTGCTGGCAATGGCCTTTTTCAACAAGTTCCTGCCAGGCAAGCGCATTGTGGAGATAATGGTGAAGAGTTCTGAGTGTCGAAGCACTGCAGGTGCATCAAAAAAGCGAGATGGACCACCTTCAAATTGCCAAGGTGCACCGCAGGCCTGCACCACCCCACATGTCGAGCGCAAGGCTAAGCATCTGCTGCGCGAAAACTGGGCCCTGCAGGCTGGGCCAAATATGCCAAACGGTTATGGCCAGTACCCAGGCCCCTTCCCAAGTGCAGGCGGGAGAGTAGGAGAAAACTTGGAGAGAGAAGCTGCTGCTGAGTCTTGCAGCTCAGGCAAAGGGTTTCCTGGGGCCCTGCCTGGCAAGGGCTTCCAAAAAGGACCTGGTGGATTTGCTCATGGCATGCCCCCGGGTCCTTCTCCCAACAACGCTGGGATGGGCTACGAGATGGGCTACCAGACATACCAGGTTGCGGTGCACACCAGTGTAGGTCCTGGAGCGAGGCCGGCTGAGTGACGACAGGGTCCCCACGAGAAGTGTGGGTGCAAGATGGTGCGAGGCCACCAGGTGTTGGAGGTCCCGGTCCAGCTGCCACGCCTCAGGCCAGAAGTGCAACGGTGTTTCACCAGACCTCACCATGATTCAGAGACCATCCCTCCTCTCCATCTGAGGTGCTGCCCGCTGCGGCACGCACCAGGAAGTCCATGGGACCACTGATGCCGCCACTTCCGCCATCTGCGCTGAGACCGGACTCCCCGGTTTTGCCAGAGGTGCGCCGCATGGCAGTGCAAAGAAGTGGAGAGTCACTCCAAGCGTACGCCATGCCCTGTTCCAGTCCTGCCGTTTGTTTTGCCACCAGTCAAATACTGCCCGACCTGTTGTATATGCGCCGCACAAAGTATTATGAAAGAGTTTCTGTACATGAAAGGAAGAGCACGGATATGCACATTTTAAAGGAAGAGGAGAGGGAAATGTTATTCTAGGAGGGTCCTGGCTGGCTTGTGAACTGCCCAATTGCCAGTTGCTTGGGAGACTATTCAAGTTTATTCTATGGATTTCGAAAGGAGAGTCCTGGGTTTCGTTTCAGCTGCTAGTCTTGAATGTTGGACAGGCATCATACTGCCGAACCTCCGAAAATGCCACTGGCCTGTGCCCAGAAACTTGTGGGACAAGGAAAATTTGGAAGGGGTGATCCGCGAAGCAGCGTGGCCCCCGCAACGAAAGGCCGCCTCCCCCTGGTGTACCCCTGCCTTCCAGCCCCAGACGCTCCAATGTTATGTGAGTATTACGGGTATTACTTGTGGTTTCCACGTGGTTTCTCTCGAGAACGAGCACGAATGATCGCAGGCCGATGATTCCCAGTGGTGCCTTGGCTGACCCCATGGTTGCACTCAACGAGGGTCGTGCTACGTCCATGCAGATTTTTGATTGGTAATGTCTGAATGATGTCAGGCCTGTTCCACAAGTGTCCGCGCACACGGCGCCACACTTCGCAAGTGCTTCAGTAGCAGCCCATCCAACACCCACAGCTGGTGCCAAGGCCAGCACCCAGCAGGGGAGAGACTCAGCACCTTCTGTGCCAGAAGTTGCGAGCAAGGACGCCCAAGGCTCCCACCCTTCACCCAAACCTTTTCAGACAGCCACCGAACGCAGCATGGCTGAGGCAACACCGGTAGCAACAACACCTGAGGCGCCTCAGGCGATGCCTGAACTGGTGATGCCCCCACCACCCCCGACATTGCCGGCAGCTGCACCAATGCCCACGTCCGGCACAGGCTTGCCCAAAGCGGCGCCAGAATCTGCCGGATGCTCGGCCAAGCCGCAGCTTGTAGACCCAACCGCAACCAGTCCTGCTGAAAGTCTCGAAGCTCCAGAGCCCAGCCAATCCCCAGCAGCCGTTGTCAGCACTGCTGTTGCCAACGAAGCAATGAACTCCAAGCCAACCGCGGCTGCTTCAGCTACGGCTGCTTCAGCTACGGCTGCCTCAGTTACGGCTGCCTCAGCCACGGCTGCCTCAGCCACGGCTGCCTCAGCTGCTGCGGCCTCAACCACGCCCTCAACCACGACGGCCTCAACCACGGGTGCCTCAAGGGTTGTTGGCTTCCAGGCCGAGCCTTCGGTATCATCGTCTGCTGAAAACTCAGTGACTTTGATGTACCATCCTGTGCCGGTTGGCTGGGCTTTGTTGGGATTGCCTTTGACGGCTTCACAAGGCAAAAGTTGCTACCTGACACTTAGGTACACTTCGCTGAAGGATGTGAAGATACCCAGCGATCTGCCACCAGCTCGCGGAGTGGGAGCCGGCCAACAGTCACACACTTGCGCTCTGAGCTGGAGCGCCTTCAGAAGGCCTGCAATCTCGAAGCGTTTTGGATTAATGATTCATATTTCGGATTGATGATTATGAGCGATAACTGCGAGAACTGCGAGAAAACGTTGGTTCTGCAGGAGATGGAGGCGTTGCAGATGCGGCCAGCACAAGGTTCCAGTTCAGATACCGCGCTGCGTGAGCAGGAGCTACGGCTTTTGCGTGAGCAGTCGCCTGGCATATGGGTAATTCCGTAGCACAAACAAGCAAACTTTGCAAACATGTTTCTTTTCACAACATCAGAGAGCAGGATGCAACACAATCAGTTGCAACACGTACGTAAACGCAAGCTCGTCAGAAAGACGAGGCTGGAGCAGACTGAGCGAGAGAATCAGGCCAGCTGTTCCATGGATTTTATTTATTTTTTTTTTTTTTTTTTGGGGGGGGGGGGGGGTGTTTCTTCTTTGCGAATGCCGGCGCTTAATGGAGCAGGCACTTCGAGCCAAGCAGGCAGAAGAGTCGGGCAAGTGCCTGAGCACTTGCATTGCGCGATTGAGTTTTCCTTGAGCTTTGCGATGCCTGCACCCAGGTCCTGCCCCTAAAAGGCGTGGCCGAAAGAGTGTCAAGAAGACAATGGATCTGACGGCACACCGCCGAACCAGCTGGCAGGCAGACACTGGCATAATCTGGCACGTCTGTCTTGTGATGCTTTGTAGTCCCACTTCACATCAAGCAATGTGGCTCGCTGGCTCGACATTCGATGTATTTTCGCACCACGTTGCTGGCTTGCGCAGTGCTTCAAGCAGTTGTAGCAACAGGATTTGCCAGAAGACGAGCGCTTGCCTTCTGAAGTCCAGCCCTTAGCGAGACAAGGGAAAAACCATGCAAGACAGCCATCATTTCGAAGCAGTCGATGGACTCAGGATAGTGATGTTGATGATGAGGACGATCTGGAGGAGTTGTTGGATTTATCGGCTACTTGCCAGCAACAGCCTAACAGCCTGGTCATGCAAGTTCGAGTTACATCTGGCATTGTGAAGTTGTCAGTGCATGCAGCAGAAGCTGGCATGCTGAGGCGCACCGTGACCCGTAGCCGCGAAAAGAAAAAGCAGCAAATGTCGAGCTGAGAGATTGACCGGATTGACCATGTTGCGCGACACGAGATTCACTCTTGACTTGGGAAGGTGCACACTCCGGCAGAGAGTCAGACCATGACACCGCCAAAGGTGGGAGAAAGGTTGTTCCGTTGCAGGTGACTCTGTCCTGTCCGCGCAGCAGGCGCCCATGGTCGAAGACCAGGGCGTTCCGAGCGTTCCGAGCATTCCGAGCGTTCCGAGCAAGGCGCAAAGAGCCGAGAAGAGCACAGTTGCACGGTTCCACGTGCTTTGGTAGCTCTGAAAAGCCGCTTGCGGGAGGCGCCATCTGCCGGCTCCTGGAGCCCCGCCCAGGCACTTGCAGAGCAAAGCTTTTCATGTCCTCTTTCATAATTTCCTCATACTTCAAGCACCAGGTTTTCGCGACGTCCGGCCGAGCGTGGCTCCAAGTCTTGCTGTGAAGCTTTCAGATCGAATGAAGCCAGTCATTCAGTGGGGTTTTCCTGTGCCAATTATTCTGAAGCGTGTTGAAGGTCATCGTCTTTGGTGGCTTTGATGGTACCGCGGACCACCGTAGCACGGAGGCTGCCGACGTGACTCACTGAACGTCTGTAGAGAATCTAGACTGCAGCAAGCTATCGGTGAGATCCTGGACACGGCCAACATGACCTTCTCCATGGGTCCCACAATGGGCGATGGCCCAAGCTCCGGAGTTCGTGGATTTTGTCTGCAGAATGACATCCAAGACCCGTGTTGGAAGGAGTCGGCCGAAGCGGTTGTGCTGTCGCTTCGTTGGATGAGAGAAGAGTGTTGGTGGCCGGTGGGTTTGATGGCGCCAGGACACCCACAGAGCCGTGCCTCTGCTAGTTTAGACGTGACCTGTTCCGTACTTTGGCATAAGTGCGCCCGGAAGTCGTGCGCTAGGAGTCTCGACACCACCGAGTTGGTGGATCCTGTCACGCTGAAGGCCTCTTGCAGCAGGGTCTGTGAAGCTCCAATGAAAGTGCCAAGCTTCACAGCAACGGGAATAAAATATGGAGGTCACCGCTGGCCCCAGAATGGGCACCAGGTCTTCGGCAAAGATGCCTGGTCCTGAAAATGTCTGCTGCTCACGGAAATGCTTCCGCAAGGCGCAACGCTTGCGCAGCGGTGAGACTGGATGCAAAGAGACTCTTGGTTACCTGGCTGCAGCTGACAGCTGTTTTTGTCAAGCGGCCTGTGCCTCTTCAGCTCAGTCAGACGGAGCTGCAGGTGATCGGCGGCTCAGATGATGCTAGCGAACTGGACTCCACCGAGGACCGCTCAGATGTTTCCCGATCTTTCGGGCACAATCGAGTCATAGAGGGCTTGGCAAGTTTGGCAGGAAGTCTAGCCGAGCCTTCTCGGCCCCTCTGCGTGTCCCTCTCCCTCTCTTTCTCCCACTCCTTCCAATGTCTTCAAAGAACATCAAAGAACCACAGCTCGAGCCGTGCCCCACTTCCCCCTTGAAGGCTGTTCTGTGATGTGCTGTGTGCTGTCTCTCCATCGCTTGTCTGTCGGCCCGGTCTCGAAGCTCAGGAGTGCTCGGACTGCCAAAATGGCTAGGGTAAGGTCTTGCAAGTGTGCAAGAATCACCGACCTAGCCTCACACTTTGGTTCGTCATGTTCTACACACTTCTCTGTGTGTGTCTGTGCGTGTGTGATTGTGTCTCTCTCTCTCTCCCCCTTTCTCTTTCTGTCTCTCTCTCCCTCTCTCTCTCTCTCTCTCTCTCGCTCTCCCCCCTGCGTCTCTCTCGTTCTCTGCCTCTTTCCGTTTCTGCCCGCATTTGCTGTCTGCACAAAGCGAAGGTGCTCGACTTGGAGAAGATGACGTTTTCCAGCGGGCCTCGCATGGGAACTCGTCTCAGCCTCGGCCTGTTTTGGAATTCTTCGGATACGAGTACGACTGTGCATTCCTGTGGATACAGGATGTTGTCCGCTGTTCACAACCAGAAGCCCTCACAGCTGCCTTGCATCAGAAGGGCGCCATGATTCACACAAGGCCTTCCGCATTCAACCCCAGCGTTTGAAGACAACGGAAACCCCACAAGCACGAACTAATACCAACCAGCATCAAAACCACTTGAAGCCCTGATAGCCATCCACAAGATGGAATGGGAGCCAAGGGGCTCAACAAAAGCAACCCAACCACCATCCACAGCACAGGAGAGGGGAAGCAAAGGGGGGAAAATCTATGGTTGGACAAGCCCCAAGAAGGGGGAGCGAGACAAAAATAGCTTGGCAACCACATCTAGAACACAAAATTGGAGAATGCCTACCTGGAAGGCCGCAACGCCTGCGCAGCATCGCTGATTGACAGCCAACGCTTGCTGGTCATTGGCGGGTCCGATGGCGGCAGTGATCTGGACCGTGATGCGAGTGCCTCCAATCTGCGTGCCTGCGCCTTCTTGTTGTTGTTTTTATTCTTAGCATTACGACTTCTTCTTCTTATTATTAAAGCAACTTGCAAGATGCTTCTGTTGCTTGCGGCCATGTCAAAGCTGACCTCCAGGACAGCACCGAGCTCTTAGATCTGAGTTCCATGAACTTCTCTGCGGGGCCCGGACGCCTGGAACCCTTGAGATGTCCATTCTTTATTTTACCTGCAGCACAGTAAGCACAGCAACACACTGGCTGGAGGATGTAGACTGAATCTAGATTTGCGAAGTTCGGTCGGCTGGATAGCTGATTTTGATCCTGTTCCGCCCAGTTTGAGCTTACGACAAGTCTCGGTTCTTTAGTTGCGGCTATCTAGTTCACTCAAGATGTTCATGTCGATGCACCCAGACCCCGGATGAGCACCCGCAGAAATTTCTGCGCCACCGCACTTCTCCAGCCGGGCGCAAGTGCCGAGCTCAGCACAGAGGTCACATACCGTATTGTTCCAGTTTGCTCTTGCCCCCCGCACAACCTTGCAGCTCGACACTAACAGAGTCCCTTTTTTTGTCAGCCCTTGTTTCGTCTCCTCTGACATCTCCTCTTCGAGGCCTGGCACCGAGGGGTCTCTTGCTGGTCCTGGGCGGCTCCGACGGTTCGAGCAGTTTGGACAGCACCGAGGCGCTGGGGGGATCCTGGAGAGAGAAAGTGTGCTTGTAAAGGGGACCTCTCTCCGTGCTGTTGGGGCCAAGATTTTTGTGACACTCCGGGGTCTTTTTTTGGCCTTGGGGAGAGGGCGAGTCTCCTCCCCTTGCGCCGCTATTCTTGGCGGCTGCGCTGTTTCCTTGCTTTGCGCACCTGCTGTGCGTTCTGAACAGCCTGTCCTAGTGTCTTGATTTGAGCCGGTCGGTGTCTGAGGTGTTGAAACCCACCAAAACAACACTTGCCAGCTTCGAGTTGCTTCCTGCGTGACATATTGCTCCGCCTAATTTCAAAGCGAGAATATATATGCATTGGCAGACTGAACGGGAAGTCCTACATGGAGTGAAGTGCCCAAGATGAGCCCAAAAGCCCAGGTTCAAGACCGAAGCAAGCTTGGGACAGGAAGTAGGCCGACAGGTCGTCTTTCGGACCTTCACGTAAGTAGAGTAGAAGATGTGCACGTGGAAACGGACCAAAATTGGAACGAGGTGCGGAAAACCCCTAAAAAGAAAAAGAAGGAGGCTGTGCCCAAAACCCGAGACTTTCTCCCCCGAGCCCCATGAAAGGAATTCTCGATCCTCAGCCCAGCATACACCTGACGTTGTAAAAGCCAGGAGAGTATGCCCTGTGTTCGAGAGTACTGAGCTGCTGAACCCTGAAAGGAGAGCCCCGTCGAACAAAGTTGGATCGTAGCATTAGCACTGCGACCTTTCAACGTCTCTAAGCCAAAACAAACACAGCCCGTATCCCAGACACAGTGCAAACAGCTGACTTTGGCAACAGAGGGCTTTATTAAAGCATATGTTTGGGGCAACACAAACATGGTCCTCATGTGTGTGCGTGGGCACACCTTACATGGCGAAGGGATTTTGTGCAACACGCAGCAGCGGAGGGCAGCTGGGAGTCCACAATTCTGCTGCCAACGCAGTTTTTTTCAAAGCCTATCCAGGGCCCAGGCACTTGTGACATTTCATGGCATTGCAGTTTGCGGACATGTTGTTGGCATGTTTAGGGCACGCCACTTCAAAGCAAGATTTTCACTACACAGCAGCGACAATCTTGTCGATGTTCCTTGCATGTGATCATGCTGAGCGCAAGCGTGGGTGCGCCCCCCTCCCCTCGCTTGACGGATCATTTCATCATACCTCATCCCGTGTTGCAAATTTATACTCCTCACCGTCATTCATTCAAACCCTAAGCTTTGACACAGTCCGCGTCTGGTGTTTGTTTCCTTCTTTTTGCCAGCAGCCCGTCAGGCACGGTCAGATTCCATCACCCAAATATTCAGCAGTCAAAAGTGTACGTGTAAGTGTAGGTGTAAGTGTAAGTGTAAAAGTGTGTGTGTGTGTGTATCGAAGTTTTCGTTGTTTGTTCTATCCGCGGGCAGGTGCTTGACGTTTCCAAAATGTTGTTCCAGCCGTTTCCTCAGACGTTTGCAGGCAGCTGCAGTGTGTCGGTTTTGTCTCGGAGTGGTCCTTGAAAGGCCGGGCCCAAACATGGGCACCTGGCGAAGCGGCTGCGCAGCCAGCGGCTCAGTTCCGAAACCCGGCTTGAGTACCACGCAGGCTTCTGAACCGTGATGTGCCTTGTGGTGCATTGCGGATTTGTGGATATGTGTTTTCCGGAATCTTGCCACACCTATCCAGAGGACATATCTTCAAAAGCTTGCATGGTAACATTCTTTGTGCTCTTGTTTTGGCAAGATCGAAATGAATCTGCAAACCAACACGATTTGCGCCCAAAGTGAGAAGCAGCCAGTTTCAATCATTCCGCTTTGTGTGTGTGGGCTTACCATAAGCTTCGAAGCCAGAGAATCCCACAAAACAGTACTGTAGATTTTCCAAACAGAATAGAACACAGCATGTGGAAGTGTGGAAGGGCAGTGCCGAGACCCTGGTGATTGGTTTAACTCTGCCATCAATTCCTTCACTGGCCGAAGCTATGAGAAATGCTGTCGGCACGGTCCGGAGCCAGTGTTTCGAAGGTAAGTTCCCACGGATATTTTCCAGCAGGAGCGGTGTGATGTGCTCTGCACGATGGCACAGCTGACGCTTCAGACTCCCACACGAGTATCTTTGGAGTGCCCACCTCCATCCCTCAGAGCATCACCATCGGAGTCATCTGTGGTGCCAATACAAATCGTCTCTACAGTGGGGTGATTAAAGTGGAACGACGTGCGATGTAGAAGCTGAACGCGCGATCAGAAACTGGACGCGATTCAGGGCACAGGACTCAGAATCTGCGGTTCAGGAAGCTGGGCACTTTAGGAAACCACGCGGTTCAGGAAACCAAGGGGTAGGGGGTGGGTGGGGTGGGGGAGTTGGGAGGGGGGGGCGTGCGGGGGTGGGGGGGGCGTGGGGGAGATGATAATGTTCATTTCGAAGATGCTTTCAGAAAACTAAAGCCATTGCTTGCGAGTTGCCATCGTAAGATTTTGACGCTTCGAATTCTACACGAGAGTAGAGCATACGTACTATTGCTATTGTGAAGATCCAATTGAAAAACATGCTTGTCCATGTTGGGACACAAACACCGAGTGAGGCTTGGGTTAGGCTGAGCTGCCCCGCTGTTTAGCAAACTGAAGTGCAGCTTCCTAGTTCCGGTATCAGATTTCAATGACTTCAGCAAAGTTGAAGAGTCTCCGGTTACATCAGAACAGGTCAGGATGAACATCGGAGTCAGGAATTTAGCAGTGCCAAGACCAAAAACATACTGAGACCGTGTGCAATATTGGTTTTTGGTGTGTTCTTTTCCCTGGACTTGGGGTTCTCGTGCGTGATCAAAAGATTTTTGCTCGCCCAGGCTGCGACACTAAGCTCTGAGCAGCTCCTGGTGGTGGGAGGCTTTGACGGCTCCAATCACCTGGACAGCACGGAGGTGTTGGACGTTGCCCAGCCGCATGTTCTGCTCAACCGTTGAGTAGCCCTTGCTCGGATCCACGCTCCCCCGCCTTGTTTTGCCTGCGCTCCGTGCATCTCCTGCTTTATTCATAAGGTGAAGCACATGTCTTTCACGTTGGGGCCGCGCCTGAGCACTTGGCGGAGTGGTTGCGTTTGGGCCTGAGAATTGAAACTAACGATGTGATTGACTCCAGCGCTTCAGACCTGGATTTCCTCCGAGGCTTCAGCCCCTTGCTGATTGTCCCGGGGGCAGCGCAGGAGCAGCTATTGCCAGTGCTACACAGCAGCTAAAACATCTGCCTTGGTGCTAGCTCACTTTTCTGCGCTGCTCGTAGGCGTTCCCACGGAATTCGGATGAAGAAGCTTAAATTAGTCCAGATTCTCGGATTGCAAAGAAGGCTTGCCACAAACCACCAAGTTAACACATTAGCACAGTGCATACAGCCTCCTTTGCTTCACGCATGACTAATGCTCGCGGAGGGGCTGGCAAGCTGTCGGACAAATAGCCGGAAGGAGTCGCAATCCTGCTGGGGTTAGAGAGCAAGTGCCAGTGATGGGTGGTGTGGAACTTGTGACGCCATGCAATGTCATGCATCCTGGCGCTTTGGTTCGCAGTTGATTCTTAGCCGTCTCTTGGCTGCGCCCTGGTGCCTTGGCCGGTGCCTCTTTCAGGGGTGTATGTTTGGGAATTGCTGCGGGACTGCGTTGGGATCTTGGCTGCGGCTGCCCTAGGCCTGTGGCACAGGGCGCAGGGCCCCTTGGGGTCCACGGCATGCAGGCTGGATGCCTTCGGGGGAGTATGCGCAGTCAGAAGATCCAAGTTGAGAGTTGAGATCCAAGTTGTGACGTTCACGCATGTGCAAAGCCGCTGTTGCAGTGTGCAGATGTTGGCAGGTTCGGCTACGGCTTTGTGCCTTGATAGTTCTGTTGGTGCACGCGGATGCTTGAAGCTCAAACTTCTTCGATGGTTCACGGACCTCGTTTGCAGCACGGCGATTGAAGGGTCCCTCTGAAATCTCCCGCGTCTCCCTGCCAAGGCCACGTCCACGGTAACCATTGGCAGCAGTCCTTTCTCAAACATAAAATGTGCACGACCCTCAGATGCCCTCAGTGAAGCACCCATTGTGTCACAACCTTTCTGCGGCAGTCGAATGAAGAAAGTTTGTCAGGTTAAGCCAGAAGCAGGGCAGCACTGCCCCTCGCTGGTTACGCAGGCCGTGGCGATGCTGGGATTCTCTCTTTGATTCGCATCGCCTTGCACAGGAAGATCCTGCGGGTACTCCCGTGCAGTGCCTTCCTTATCCGCTTCTAGCACACGCACACACACCACACTGAAAGCCGCTGAGATGTGCAGAGTGACAGTGAAGGTTCAATCTTTTCCATGACAATGACGGCATGCTTTGCACGACCAGCGTTGACCCATGGAAGTTCGACCTGGCCTGTGGCTCAGGGCGTTGACCACGGCTGCAAGTGCCTGTGCAGGGATGTCACTTCTGTGTCACTTTCTCCGTCCCGTTGCTGCCAGTTGCCAGGAATCGATTATGTGCAGCTTAGCATTGTCTTAGCATGTTGCATCCTTGGTGCTAAGAGCAAGGAGTCTTGTCAAAGGCCTGTTGCTTTACACCTGCAGGAGACGGTTAAGTACACAGAAATTCGGTCTGTGCCATAGACAGGATGTCGTCCAGGGATGGTCGCAAAATCCGGTTCAGTGTGGTATCCTTCGCACCACCCGGCAGCTCGCTAGCTGTGATCGGGAGCTGTGATTCCCTTGGAAAATGGAGCCTGGATAGGGCCGTAGATATGAAACCGCGTTTGGCCAACGCGCGCCTGCAGTCTGAGCCTGACTTTCACTGGGTGGACGTTGACGTCCCAGAAGCTGGCAGAGAGCGTGTCGAGTACAAGTTCGTTGAGCGTGGCAACGGCGTGAAATGGGAGGATCTGGGTGGCCACCAGAACCGGGTCCTTGAACTGGATGCTCAGGGAGACGGACCACTGGCTCTTTTGCCAGTTGTGCGTTTTGCAGAACCCGGTGGCGGGGAGAGTGATCATACGGCACGCTTCTATCAAGGAGTCAAGGAGCGCGGCGAGATCTCAATTCGGAAGGTGCTAGATCAGCTTTATGTGGGCTCATGCCCAAGGCATCGCTCGCATATTGACCAGTTGCACTCCCTGGGCGTTACCGTAGTGGTGAACTTTCAGACTGAGGAAGATTGCAAGCGAAACTGTGTTTCCGGCATCGGCATGGAGGAGGATCCAATGGCAGTGAGTCGCGTATATGAAAGCAAAGGCATGCAGTACATTTGGATGCCCACTTTCGATATGTCTACTGATGGCCGTGCTCAGATGTTGCCGCAAGCATCATTTCTGTTTGGTCAGCTTATCCGCAGGGGCCACACAGTCTACAGCCACTGCAACGCGGGTGTGGGTAGGAGTGTTGCTGCTGCGTGCGGTTTTTTGACGTTCTTCTTGGGTCTGTCGCAGCGGCAAATGCAACATGTGATGGCAAGTTCTCGTCCGGTTGCTTTCTTCGATTTCGAGGCAATGGAAAGAGCTCGACCTCATTACCAGGCAATGTTCGCGTGTGAGGAGAAGCTGGAGAATGATGACAAATGTAAGGACAGGCTTGCTTCAATTGGCTTTCTTTGAATGTTTCTTCTTCAATACTTGTTCATAGCTGAATTTAGGAACTTCAGTTGTAGTGCGCACTGGGCAGCACAGATTCTCTTTTGCCTAAGGAGGAAGCGCTGGCACTCTTATGATGGACCGTGCTGCTGACTGAACTTGCCGAAATGGCCAACTGAATGCTCCATCGTTCAAGAGCATCCTCTTGCTCGACAAGGAAGAGGAAAAAGGTTGCGACCTGCAGGGTTGCAGGAGTCGCTGCATGATTGAATCCGAGTTGGCTGTTGCACTCGGTTCTTTCGGCATCTCTCCGCAGCTCCTGCACACCACAAGTGAGAGCTGCTTGCTGTAAGGTCGTGGAGTGTGGTCCCAGCCCTGCAGATGCAGAGGCTCGGCTCGCTTACCATGGTTTGTGATAGTGTTAGCGCTGTGTTTGCTTTCAAGAGGCAAGGGAATGAATGCCCGTTTTATCAGGACACGGGGGCCAGGCACTTCACCATGACTGGCCACGAGGTGCACACGTTGAGGATTTAACAGACTGAAGCATGCACGCAGATTTATGCTTACAGGGCGGATCCTCCACCCATCACACGGAATTTCACTCGGAGGCATGGCATGTCCAATCACATGCGCGCGCAAAACGTTGGAAGTGTATGATCCCTCACAGACAGCCATGTCTTTGCAGGGCGGCTCGTTTTCCTCTGGCTTCAGTGGTTCAATGCCCCTGGGGCAGCTGGAGGCTGGTATTCAGAATCGCTGCCATCATCCTGCTCAAAAAACACATCAATGCTCTTGCTGCATGTTTTCTACGAGTGCTTGCAGGGCTCGGTCTCGGAGTCCGGCGCGCATGTCGGCTTACCGGAAGCGCAGGACGGGCAGCCACGGGATGCCACGGGGCAGCGTAGCGACGCGCAGCGACGCGTGGCGACGCGCAGCGACGTGTGGCGACGTGCACCATGGCAGTTAGAGGTCCCGGAATTCAGCGGCACATCCGCCGGCAAGGCCGAGACTTGTTGCATGGACCTCCGCAAGCAGCAAGGAATGAAGACTCAAGAGCCCCGTCTCAGGCCGCCAGCCCAATTGGTTTTAGATTGCTGTTTGGCTAAGTTTTGGGCTGGCCGGAACAAAACTTGACCCTTTTCCTGGGACTGTATCAATTTGAGCCTGTCGAATAAATTGGGAAAGAATTCACCAGTCGGGATTTAATGTGAAAGGTGTCACAGCGAGCCGTGTGCAAGTAGGTTAAGTTCATGGTTTCTACCCCCAAACAGACCTGAAATCGCTGCCCTGGACACCTCCCGCCCTCCAACAGCGAAGAAGTATTGAGCCTCCCGACTTGGCTCTGCGCTTTCTCAGCCGCAATTTTGGCTTTGCAGCTTGTGGGGAGGCCCTCCTGCCTTCCCGACTTCTTGGCTTCGCGGTTTTCTGACAGCAGAGATGGACCTGTGATCATCACAGAGATCAAATCCATCCCTGTCGGCGTGGCAGCTTGTTGGTCCACGTGCCAAGGCCCTTCCCTTCCAGCCCGAGGGCTAGCGGTGGATCGGCGTTCGCACGCGCTGTGGACGAACAGTTTGCACACATTTGGGTGGTTATCTAAACTATGATCCCTTTTGGGGTACCCGAAATATGAGGTGCCGTATTTTACTAGGGACCCCAAAAGGGATCATAATTCTGACGACCACCCATTTGTGCCTCCGAAGTAGGAAGCGCCGAGTGTGTCGCTCTGGGCCAATGCAACTCGGAGCGTAGTGTAACACACTGCATGTCGAGCATCGTCTGGGATTGTGCTTGCAGCTTTGCAGACACGGTGGTAATGCACTCGGCGGTCCCTGAAAGGTTTTGGTGGAAAGCCTTAGGGGTAAAGGCCGATTTCTTGGCTCTTTTCGGCTGGGGAGTGGAGGAGCCAGGCGATGCTCAGATACGCAGCCGCAAATAGCATTGAACATGGCCTTTTAGTTATCTTAAAGCGTGTGATGATGAAGCTTGACGCTGAAGCGTGACGCTGTAGCAATGCCGGGATAATACAGTGCCGCTCGGGGTTTCCTGTGGTTCACATGTCGAAAGCGCCGCGCGTGTCATCGTTTCGCTGCTTGCGACTTTCCACGATCGGCACCTGCCGGCAGACTCGCTTTCGCACTGTTTCTTCCTTCTGGTGGCTTTTGGCAGTGTTCTCGACGCCTTTGATTGACTACGTCCATGGTCCTATCGCTTCCATGGACCAGAGGATTGCATACCCGAGTGATGCTTACGTCCATGTTGCCTGGGCATGGAAGCGGCCCAGACCCGCGGCCGGGCTGGGCAAGGGTTCTGGGTTCCGCCATGAGGATTGACGACATGTTTCTTTGGGCAGCACTAATCGGCAGGCAGGAATGAAGCATCAAAACGTATGAGAGAAGCGAAACACAGAACGAAACCGCAAGATCGCAACCTTCGCAGCCCGCAGCAGATCCCAAGGCGCTGACACATGGAACGCGCGGTTTTTCCAGGTTACATGGACCGGTTCGGAAATTTTTCAAGGCTTTGCGAACCCAACCAACCCATTTCTTCGTCATGCCCTTGTTGCAAGGCATCAGTCCAGACGATCCAGAGAAGTATTAGGTGCAAGCGCATGCGCGCCCTGCTTCGGGGTGCAGCTCCCGGAGGGGACACACTTCCGCGTAGAGCCTTCGGACGCGCTATAACTTGCGGCGAAAGTGGTGCTGGTCCTCATACCAGGACTCAGAACGTTGTTTTTGGCGGACGACAGTCAAAGGTCACTCCCAGGACGGGGGTCCCAAAAAGGTGCCATGGAGGGGAGGTAATTTCTCGTTGGGGGTCCTGGCTGCTTGTTCTAGACTCCTGACCGGAAGCCGAGGCGAATTCTGCACAAAAGCCACGAACTAATGGACTCAGAAACTTTTTTGTGAGATTTTTCTGCGTTTTTTTCGTTTTTTCGTCAGCTGAGTTTTCCCGGAAGGGTCTACAAAAAGGAGGCAAAAGGCCGCTTCAGCCTGTAAACGAAATAATTTAATGGTCTTGTGGTAGTCGTGTGTTGATTCGGAACTCGCCCGCCCGCGACGCTGTAGCTGATCTCTCCGGCCACCAGTGTCCTTTGTGCTGCACAGGCATCGGGCAGCGGAAAGATACAGGTCGACATCGGCCCCAGCCCCGACTCTTCCACGAAATGCGCTATGCCCTTAGGGGTGCAGCGAGGGATCCGATGAGCTCGATGAGTTCGGCAGCCGTGCGTGATCCAACGCAGACGGCCCAGGTCCCAAGCCCTGGCGGCCTGACCTGTGATGACACGGCATCACAAATCGGCCGCGATGGCAAATGGCCAGACACGCCTCGAGCTCAGCATGGCATGAGCATCACATTCCAAACTGTTGGCATTTCCCGGGCTGGTGTGAAAGTGGTGAATCCCTGAGGTTCCACGTGTATCATGACGGGGACCAGATCTGCGCGCATCGTACAGACTACGATAAGCCATGGGGGCTTCACTTGGTCCAGCCCTGAGCAGCGGCCGAGCATTGGTCGGTCTGCGGTCTTACAAGCATAAGTAGCCTGAACTCATCTTACTCGGGGATGCAGGGGCTTGCTGGGACGAAGCAACCCAGTTGCGTGCCTTTCCGGACCCGGGTGTGTGCGCACGCATGTGGGCTTTCCGGCCTGTCCCACCCCGCATTAACAATACAGGAAAAAGGGGCTAATTCCAAAGCTTGTGCACGTGAGATGGATGCAGTAGATCGAAGGTGGGTTCATGAGCTGCATGAGGGTCTTGCAGGGTGTTTTTTTTTACATACACGCTGGACGCCTTGGTAAGTTTGTTCATGAGACGCCCCCGAGGTCTTCAATTTTATGGGGGCCCTTTAGCCACCTCTCCTTAAGTTATATCCAGCTTCATCACCTCAGCAAGGCTGTTTCCAAATGGTCGAGGGTTTCATGGGGTCCATGAGTACCCCCTCCCTGTGCGGTTGGTCCAGGCGGTGTGGTTGCAGTTGCAGGTCGGAAATTTCATGGTTTTCCCTATTCTCATTCCCCTGTTTCGCTCCAGTCTCTTTCCCTGTTGCGTGCATCACCCTCGAATTGCCAGTATTAAGGTGCTGCACTGCCATCATCATGGACCTGGGCTAGAGGTGCCTTGCGTTTGTTACGGCAATGCTCCCACGTGTGCGCCCTTCCTTTGATCTTCCTCGGGTTCGCAAATTGAAGGCCTGGATGCATGAGAGCCACAGCAGCCACAGCAGCCCCAGCAGCCACAGCTCCTCCGCATCCTCTCATTTCTCAGGAGGGCAGGCGCATGTGCTGTGCGTGTGCTATTGCCCTTCCCTGTGATTGGGTTCGCCGATAGCGTTTGAGAGAAAAGAAGAAAGCCTATCAGAGAACGCAACCACAAGATCTGCTTTTGAATTTGAGTTCGGAACCCCCTAAGATTTTTGCAGCCCGCAGCAGATCCCAACGAGCTGACACATGGCACGTGCTGTCTATACCTGCTGCGCTGAGTGGATAACAGGTTTGGACATACCACGATGCAGGTTCTGAGGCTTATTTGTTCAGAAGTTGCAGTAATTTAACCGCTAACGCGAAGCCGCCTCGGCAAGGGTACCGAGGCGAATTGAGGGTTCACGAGAAGTGGCACAGGGGTGCCGCAAGATGCTGTAGGAGAGGTGGGTGGGGGGGTGGCAAGAACACGATTTCTCACATCCGCCCCCCTATGGTGGCCCAAAATCTCCCATGGTCCCGGCACGTCGTCCGCATCTGGACACTGGTCGGCCAGGGGGGGTACCTATTCCGCGCAAAAAAAGACTCGGCCGCGCACTTGGCGGGGTAGGGGAACGCCATGAACTAACGCCACTGTCAGCTGGGTTTTGCCGGAAGGTCGGGGCCAAATGACAGTATGTAGAAGTGCACAGGAGGACGCAAACAGGAAGGTTGGTTGAGGTGTTGTGCAGAAGCAATCCAGACCCATCAACCGAAGTGCACCGTGCTGACCTATGTAGCTGCCTGAGTAGTTGTGCAGCACCCAACCTTTTTGTTTCAATTCATGAAGAAGAAACAAAAGGCCGCTTCAGCCTGTAAACGAATAATGTTATGGTCTTGTGGTAGCCACGATGCTGTAACTGATCTCTCCGGCCACCAGTGTCCTTTGTGCTGCACAGGCATCGGGCAGCGGAAAGATACAGGTCGACATCGGCCCCAGCCCCGACTCTTCCACGAAATGCGCTATGCCCTTAGGGGTGCAGCGAGGGATCCGATGAGCTCGATGAGTTCGGCAGCCGTGCGTGATCCAACGCAGACGGCCCAGGTCCCAAGCCCTGGCGGCCTGACCTGTGATGACACGGCATCACAAATCGGCCGCGATGGCAAATGGCCAGACACGCCTCGAGCTCAGCATGGCATGAGCATCACATTCCAAACTGTTGGCATTTCCCGGGCCGGTGTGAAAGTGGTGAATTCCTGAGGTTCCACGTGTATCATGACGGGGACCAGATCTGCGCGCATCGTACAGACTACGATAAGCCATGGGGGCTTCACTTGGTCCAGCCCTGAGCAGCGGCCGAGCATTGGTCGGTCTGCGGTCTTACAACCATAAGTAGCCTGAACTCATCTTACTCGGGGATGCAAGGGCTTGCTGGGACGACGCAACCCAGTTGCGTGCCTTTCCGGACCCAGGCGTGTGCGCACGCATGTGGGCTTGCCGGCCTGTCCCACCCCGCATTAACAATACAGGAAAAAGGGGCTAACTCCAAAGCTTGTGCACGTGAGATGGATGCAGTAGATCGAAGGTGGGTTCATGAGCTGCATGAGGGTCTTGCAGGGGGGTTCCTGGAGCGCCAATTCAAGGCCGTGTGCAAGGATGGGAAAAATGAACGCTTGGACTGGTCTCTACGCCTTGGTGAGTTTTTTTCATGAGACCCCCATGAGGTCTTCAATTTTATGGGGGCCCTTTAGCCACCTCTCCTTAAGTTATATCCCTTCTTCATCACCTCAGCAAGGCTGTTTCCAAATGGTCGAGGGTTTCATGGGGTCCATGATTACCCCCTCCCACCCCGAAACCCTTGTCTCTTTCCTGTTACAGCCCGTGCGGTTGGTCTAAGGGGTGTGGTTGCAGTTGCAGGTCGGGAATTTTCATGGTTTTCCCCTATCCTCATCCCCTGTTTCGCACCAGTCCTTTCACTGTTACCTCGAATTGCCAGTATTAAGGTGCTGCACTGCCATCATCATGGACATGGGCCAGAGGAGCCTTGCATTTATTAGTCCAATCCGAGTGCATAGAAAGAGTGAGTGCTTGGGCGCTGGGCGAAGATTTACTGCGGAGTAGGAAGCGCGTCAAACAAAAACCTACATTCTGGCGTTTGAGAGCCCTGGGCCGGGGGGGCGGGGGCGCATAGATCTTGATATTTTGGTTGTATATTGGTTCAGCGCGCATCCGAATCTCAGAAGTCTACTTGTTCCTGCATGTTCTTGTTTCCGAGTTGCCACATTTGCAGGCACCGCACTCGGAGAGCCACAGCTTTTCCTTCGGAGGATCCGAAGGAGGATCCGAGGTGCATCTCTCGCTTGATCCGTGTCTCTGTGTGAGTCTGACTGTGAGTGAGTGTGAGTGTGAGTGTGAGTGTGGGTGTGGGTGTGGGTGTGGGTGTGGGGGGGGGGGGGTGTGGGTGTGGGTGTGGGTGTGGGTGTGGGTGTGGGTGTGGGTGTGGGTGTGGGTGTGGGTGTGGGTGTGGGTGTGGGTGTGGGTGTGAGTGTGAGTGTGAGTGTGAGTGTGAGTGTGAGTGTGAGTGTGAGTGTGAAACCGGACGCATGCTGATTTACCAGACTTTCTGTGCCGACACTCGCAGTACGGGCATGAGAGTCTCGGCAACAGGTTGTGAGTTATTTGCAGGCTGGGTCCTATCCGATGAAAATCGGTAGCAACTTGGCGTCCGACATGAAATGTGCCGGTGGCTTATGGTGGCTTATGGTGGCCTTCGTTGGCGTTGCCCTTCAGCAGTGTTGTGATGTTTTGCTTTCGAGGCGGCGCCACCTGGAAAGGTCTCTTGCCCCACAGAGGCTAAGGTGCAGTGCCTGCTTTGCCAGTGCCCTTCGAATATGTGATTGTTGATTCCACCTTTCTCTATAGCATGGCAGGCAGATGGCCCGGAAGACCCCAAAGATACGCAGCTGGCCCAGCGACAGCTGTACGGCAGTTTGCAGAAGCAAAGGGTATCACCCTCCTGCCCGAGGTTCAAGATCTTCGAGAATGATCATGGCCTGATTTGTGCGAAGCGTACCGACGCCCCATCTCCTTGGGGGGTGGATCTGGCCAATGACCTAGTTGCGGGCATGTGATTGTCCATTGCCTTGCACACATTCTTCCTGAGAATGGTCGTTCCAGTTGCTGGCAAGGTGATTCCCTGCAAGAAGGCAAGGCAGCTGCCTGATTTGGGAGGTGGCGCCCGCTTTCCGTATGCGTTCTGATCAGGTTGGACATTGGGAGACTCCGACACACAAGGCCCGATTGCTGATTTTGTTGCCCTTAGCTCTTGGTCCATACACGTCCTACATGTCCGGTTCGGACCCACATTCTTTTGAGAGGCCTCGTCCAAGTTCTCGGGCATGGTCGAGATTCCGGTAGGCAGCAGCATGCACTCCTCGACCAAATGCGCCAGGACCATACTGTCCACTGTCAACGATGTTATGACCTGCGTTGCACCCCGTAGATTCGAGTGTGCTTGCCGTGCCACAGATATGCTTCCCGGATGTCCAAGGTGGACGATCCAGGTCACATCTCCTGTGACGATGAGGCCTCTCAACGGGGCAGGGCAGGCGAGTTCCCAGACACGTGGGGGCCGCCCAGAGGGAAGAGCACTTTCCGCTTCGCTTTGCGACTGCGACGCCTTCGAAGTTCTTGAAAGCGCATTACGCATTTCGCATCTGAGGTTCCACGTCTACCACGAGAATGGCAAAATCTGCGCTCATCGTACAGACCACGAAGATCCTTGGGGTCTTCACCTGGCGAGGGTCCCAGCATGGCCCAGCATGGCCCAGCATGGCCCAGCATGGCGGCCTTGGGAGCTGCTCTCATGCTCGCGCAGAGTTGCAGATGTTGCTCTGAGGTCCTGCACTGTCACCACAAGGACCGGGTATGACCGGGTGCTGATATTGCGTGCTATGCGTGATGCCGTGTTCTGCAACGAAAGACTGACAGCCTACTGCGAGGCCCCAAATGGCCACAAGTCTTTTGACAGGGGGCTGTGATGAGTCATGATCGATACGAAGGTTGTCAAAAACAGTGTATTGTGGTTGTGGTTTAGAAAGGAATGCTCACGAGGAGTGTTCAGCTTATAAAGCGAGAAGGAGCGCGCTGAGCACACAAAAACTAACGATAAGGTTTTGCAGGGTGCCAGCCGTATGCGCCCAAGCCGATTCGGTCGCTTGGCCAGGGTTGTTTGAACGAACGAGAATGCGACCATAGCCAGAGCGATAACTTTTTGATCACGACTCGTGTGCATACCTTTTGTTGAGCCCGTTCATCAAAACCTCAATCCACGAGCATGTCCTTCCATGTGCGCCCAAAGCCTTTGCTCTTGGTCTAAGTTTGCTTTTGCGTGCAAACGCTGCAATTGGATAAGCTGCAAACAACAACTTGCCTGTAGGGACCAGAAAATTTGGTGAGCGAACTAGGTACCGTGGGTTGGATTCCACTTAGGATGTCCGATGGTGAGCATGCCAAGCAGGTTGAATTTATCGAAAGACCTTCTGAGAGCTGTGCGTAGTGAGGGGCTTAGTGTGCAGCTAGCTTTCGTTGGCCCTAGCTTATTTCTCGAGTTCTCTCTATACCGAAGTGTGCAGAAAAAGAAGAAGAAAAAAGAAGAAGAGAGAGACTGGGCTTGTGGAGCATTGGGAGGAGCATCCGAACCTCAAGCCGCAGGCGCCGCTGCTTAGTGCGCAGTAGGCCCAGTGGGCTTTGCATCTAATTGTCGTCTGGATGTTGCGATCGATGTCGGAGCTTTCTGGCAGATGTAAATTGGTGGTCGGGGCTTTTGTAAGTGTGTAGAAACTAAGTGACTGTGAGGCGTTGTACTATGTTTTCCGGGCTTTTCCCGACGTTTCAGGCTCGCATAAAACCGAACACGGCAAGGCAACTGACGCTCGTGCATCATACCGGGGATTGAAAACTTGTACCCGACTGAAGAAATCTGTGCCTGGTTGAAGATCTGACATCAGCCACAGCTGCATGACTGTCCAATCCGAATGCATAGTGCCCGCTGCAGTCCCGCTGCTCTTGGTTCTCACGGAAGCGGTATACTACCCTGCAGTGTGTACCTGGACACACAACAGGGACTCCTGTCCGCCTTGCTGACAGTGCCTTTCCCAGCCTTTACTTATTTCCGTTTTGCGTCGTGATGCTATGCATCCCGATGTATTGCGTTTCCAAGCAAGCACAGATCTTAGACAGTTTGTCAATCGGTTAGAAAGCTTCCTAGGGAAGGCGTCCCTTTGATTCAGCTGTAGTAATTGCACTTTTGATGAGATCATTTCGGGAGTTCTTGTTTCGCGTGTGCGTGTCTCCCTGCGGAATTGGTTCTTGTAGCCGAGTTTTGAGCCTGAACATTTCAAAATGGGCGAGCCGCTTTAGGGCCATGCACCACACTTAGAGTTTTAAATTTTGGTGTGGTTGAGAAGATCAGGCACAGGTACCTGCTTGAGATTTTGGCACTATGCTCATCTTCGCTGTGCGCCTGCAGGCAAAACAAAGACTGTGCCGCTCAAAGGTCAATAGCTCAATAACGCATAGGTTGCATGTCAAGGGGTTTGCAGCCGAAACGCGCGAGCCGGGATCACGTCTGCAAACTCAAGCAGTCGCCGAACAGCTTGCGTTCGGATCTTCGAATCCTACTTGTTCCTGCATGTCGTTGCTCCCGAAATGTGGCCAGGCACCGCACTCGGAGAGCCACAGCTTCTCCTTCGGGGAATCTTTTGGAGGATCCGAAGGAGGATCCGAGGTGCATCTCGCTTGGGGCGTAAGCTTTGTTTCTGTAAGTTTGCATGCTTTGCAAACCCGACGCATCCTGACTTACCCGACTTTCTGTGCCGACATGGACATTTTTTGGTACGGGCATGAGAGTCTCAGCAACAGGTTGTGAGTTATTTGCAGGCTGGGTTCTATCCGATGATCATCGGTAGCAACTTGGCGTCCGACATGAAATGTGCCGGTGGCTTATGGTGCTTATGGTGGCCTTCGTTTGCGTTGCCCTTGAGCAGTGTTGCGATGTTTTGCTTTCGAGGCGGCGCCACCTGGAAAGGTCTCTTGCCCCACAGAGGCTAAGGTGCAGTGCCTGCTTTGCCAGTGCCCTTCGAATGTGTGATTGTTGATTCCACCTTTCTCTATAGCATGGCAGGCAGATGGCCCGGAAGACCCCAAAGATACGCAGCTGGCCCAGCGACAGCTGTACGGCAGTTTGCAGAAGCAAAAGGATTTCACCCTCCTGCCCGAGGTTCAAGATCTTCGAGAATGATCATGGCCTGATTTGTGCGAAGCGTACCGACGCCCCATCTCCTTGGGGGGTGCATCTGGCCAATGACCTAGTTGCGGGCATGTGATTGTTTATGGCCTTGCACGCATTCTTCGAATGCTCGTCCCAGCTGCTGGGCAAGGTGATTCCCTGCAAAAAGGCAAGGCAGCTGCCTGATTTGGGAGGTGGCGCCCGCTTTCTGTATGCATTCTTATCAGGTTGGACATTGGGAGACGCCGACACACAAGGCCCGATTGCTGATTTTGTTGCCCTTAGCTCTTGGTCCATACACGTCCTCCATGTCCGGTTCGGACCCACATTATTTTGAGAGGCCTCGTCCAAGTTCTCGGGCATGGTCGAGCTTCCGGTAGGCAGCAGCATGCACTCCTCGACCAAATGCGCCAGGACCATACTGTCCACTGTCAACGATGTTATGACCTGCATTGCACCCCGTAGATTCGAGTGTGCTTGCCGTGCCACAGATATGCTTGCCGGATGTCCAAGGTGGACGATCCAGGTGACATCTACTGTGACGATGAGGCCTCCCAACGGGGCAGGCCTGGCGAGTACCCAGACACGTGGGGGCCGCCCAGAGGGAAGGGAAGAGCACTTTTCGCTTCGCTTTGCGACTGCGACGCCTTCGAAGTTCTTGAAAGCGCATTACGCATTTCGCATCTGAGGTTCCACGTCTACCACGAGAATGGCAAAATCTGCGCTCATCGTACAGACCACGAAGATCCTTGGGGTCTTCACCTGGCGAGGGTCCCAGCATGGCCCAGCATGGCCCAGCATGGCCCAGCATGGCCCAGCATGGCGGCCTTGGGAGCTGCTCTCATGCTCGCGCAGAGTTGCAGATGTTGCTCTGAGGTCCTGCACTGTCACCACAAGGACTGGGTATGACCGGGTGCTGATGTTAGGATCTTTGAATCCTACTTGTTCCTGCATGTTGTTGTTCCCGAATTGCCGCATTTGCAGGCACCGCACTCGGAGAGCCACAGCTTTTCCTTCGGAGGATCCTTTGAAGGATCTTTCGGAGGATCCGCAGGAGGATCTTTCGGAGGATCTGCAGGAGGATCTTTCGGAGGATCCGCAGGAGGATCCGAGGCGCATCTCTAGCTTGGGGCGTGTTTTTTTTGTAAGTTTGCATGCTTTGAAGACCGTACCCGACCTTTTCCGCAAGTGGAAAGTTTTTGGCAAGGGCATTCGAGTCTCAGCAGCAGGTTATGATTTGCTTGCAGGCTGAGGAGTATTCGGTGATCGTCGGTAGCAATTTGGCGTCCGACATCAAATGTGCCGGTGGCTTATGGTCACCCCATTGGTCTTCCGCAGTGCTGCAATGTCTTGTTTTCGAGGTGTGGCCACCTGGAAAGGTCTCTTGCCCGCCGGAGGCTTCTCAGGTGCAGCGCGTGCGTTGCCAGTGCCCATTCGGATATGCGATTGTTGATTCCACTTCTTCCGTACAGCAGGCAGATGGCCCGGAAGACCCCAAAGATACGCGGCTGGCCCAGCGACAGCTGTACGGCAGTCTGCAAAGGCAAAGGATTTCACCCTCCTGCCCGAGGTTTAAGATCTTCGAGGATGACGAAGGAATGATTTGTGCGAAGCGTACCGACGCCCCATCTCCTTGGGGGGTGCATCTGGCCAATGACCTGGTTGCGGGCATGTGATTGTTTATGGCCCTTTTACACATTCTTCGAATGCTCGTCCCAACTGCTGGCAAGGTGATTCCCTGCAAAAAGGCAAGGCAGCTGCCTGATTTGGGAGGTGGCGCCCGCTTTCTGTACGCGTTCTGATCAGGTCGGACATTGGGAGACGCCGACACACAAGGCCCAATTGCTGTGGATTTTGCCCTTATAGTTCCATACCCCTCCTACATGTCCGGTTCGGAGCTACGTTCCCTTGAGAGGCCTCGTCCAAGTTTCCGGGCATGGTCGAGATTCCGGTCGGCAGCAGCATGCACTCCTCGACCAAATGCGCCAGGACCATACTGTCCACTGTCAACGATGTTAGGACCTGCATTGCGCCCGTAGATTCGAGTGTGCTTGCCGTGCCACAGATATGCTTGCCGGATGTCCAAGGTGGACGATCCAGGTGACATCTACTGTGACGATGAGGCCTCTCAACGGGGCAGGCCTGGCGAGTACCCAGACACGTGGGGGCCGCCCAGAGCACTTTCCGCTTCGCTTTGCGACTGCGACGCCTTCGAAGTTCTTGAAAGCGCAGTACGCATTTCGCATCTGAGGTTCCACGTCTACCACGAGAATGGCAAAATCTGCGCTCATCGTACAGACCACGAAGATCCTTGGGGTCTTCACCTGGCGAGGATCCCAGCATGGCCCAGCATGGCCCAGCATGGCCCAGCATGGCCCAGCATGGCTCAGCACGGCCCAGTCTCGCGGCCTTGGGAACTGCTCTCATGCTCGCGCAGAGTTGCAGATGTTGCTCTGAGGTCCTGCACTGTCACCACAAGGACCGGGTATGACCAGGTGCTGATATTGCGTGATATGCGTGATGCTGTAATCTGCAACGAAAGACTGACAGCCTATTGCGACGCCTCAAATGGCCACTCGTGCGCTGCTAGCAGCTAACGTTGGCCCTCCTTTCAACCCTTTTCAACTGCAAGCCTTCTCAAGTCCTGGAACTCAGAGAGAGAGAGAGAGAGAGAGACTGCGTGCACCCCTCAAGCCCCGTAGAAGAAGAAGAGCCGGGGAGACACTGGGCTTGTGGAGCATTGAGAGGAACTCCCGCAGCCCAAGCCGGAGGCGCTGCCAATGTCGATGGCAGTAGGCTCAGTAGGCTCAGTAGGCTCAGTAGGGCTCGGTAGGGCTCGGTAAGCAAGCGGAGGTTTCCTGGGGGAGGGAAGAGGCGATAGATGCTGGGGTGTGGTTCCATGAGAAGGAGCCATTCGATTGCTACGTGGATTTGCCGAATGCTTGGGCGGCGAGCAAGGTGGAGTATTGCTGCCGCTTTCCCAGTTTGAACGAGCTGCCGTTCCCGAGAACTTGCAGTTCAGCTTGCCTTCGAGGTGCCAACAAGAAGCTGGGATGTGATATGCTGCCAGCTGAGGCGGCCAGGGCCCCCAAAGCAACAGAATGTGCCAATGGAGCTGCACGGCATCAGAGTCACTGAGGATTGTCACGGCTCCGAGACTGACTGGGAGACTTGCCCAAGCCCAGAGCAGTGCGACACGCGAGCAGCTTACTATTTGCCTTCGAAGCTGCCGGAAGGAAAGCACATCTTTAAAGCAGCAGTTGGACCGTAGATAAGTGGCAACAAGGAGCGGTGCTGATGCATTGTTTCGAGGTGTGAGCCTGTCGACTGCATCTTCGCAGACTGGACTGCGTGGAAGGTCTCCTCTGGCCAAGAGTGCAGCGGCACAGGTCCCAGAACTTGTTGAACGAATCGCTCGCCGACCCGTTGTGTCACGATATTGAGTTCAAACTCAGGACTACGCTATCGCCATCGCGGCTTTGCCCGTCAGAATAACCAGCACGCGACACAGCATGGATGGGCTGGGAAGGGAAGCATGCAGACTAGAAATCGATCGTGACATGTGATCTCGCGTCAAGCTTACGTGAGCAGCCACATCAGCTGTGACTCATGTCTTTGTTTGATCCTGGTTTTCAGATACGATACTTCCCAGAGCTTCACTGGGCGCTGATTGTGTCTTAGTTGTGGCAGAGCAGTGATCATAAAGCGAGACTCAAACTCAGTTGCGGGCAGCCCTGCCACGGCATGACGGTTGACTCCCAGGCTCTTCCGCCATGTTCGGCTTGACGTGTGCTCCTGCTGATGACCGTGTGACGTAAGCAGGCGTACATGCCGCCGGAGTGTAAGGGCGATGTGACCGTCGATTGTAAGTTCTCGGCCAGAGGCCAAGCATGTCTTCAAGACACTGCAGCTGTTTCTTGCTTGTGCGCGGGACAAGGACTGGACGCTCTGGAAAGGAGACTGCGCAGATCCCACTGCGCAGCAAATGCGATCTCGAGAGGTGAGCATGCCCGGATAGCAGTTTAGGGTTACCCGTTGCATTTTGTCAAGTGGAATTTGAACTTTGGCTCGCCAGCTGCTCCACGATGCGAACAGCCTTCGACGACGCCAGTGCGATGGAGCATTGAATCAAACGTCACCCGGCATTGACGGCACATTTCAGCAGTCGACAGAGACAGACAGAGACGGAGGCCTTGTCTGAACCTGTCCCCCTCTGCAGGTAGATTCTGAATGGCTGGGTAGAACATATGCTACCCTCCTCAAAACGTTTCTGAAAATAACAGCTTTGGCTCGGTTATAGTTGTTCTGCATGCACCTTGTTTCATACTAAAGCATAACAAGTCATGAGCTCGCCAAATTCATGTGGGGGGGATACCTGTGCGCCTAACCAGGTTGGTTCTAGGTGGGGAGTGATGTCTACGTGAACGGACATGATAGAGCTGGCACCCGCAATAGTGGCGAAAATGCTGCCAAAGCCGCCCGACGAACAGATACCGCGGCGGCCATGAAAGCAAGGGGGGACACCACCTAAAACTTGCCAAGAACAACGAGCATGGGAGTGCACAGCCAGGCAATCCGTAATCCGTGGGGAGGCAGCCAAAGGCAAGGCGGTGCCGCCGATCAGATGGTTCAGGAGTGAGGACAACGTCTACAGCCGCGTAGTTGTGCGCCCTTATTCTTGAGGTTGCTGAGGGGAAGACGAAGAGAGAACAGACAGACAAAAGAGGATGCGCAGAGGGTTAGCGCTCCATACTAAAAAGTATCATCGGAAGATGCAAAAGCACGAAACCTGCCACGAGGAAAGCTTGCAATGCACGACCGGTGGACTGCAAATTCACCGCGGCTGCCTTACAGCCTTAAAAAGCGGCGTGGAAAGCTGAATTCAGTCTTGATGAAACCTGTAGAATCTGTAGAAGGCTGTTGCTCTGCTGCTGCTGACCGCTCTGAGGAGTGGCACCCGTGGTCCCAGTGCAGTGCCACCTGCGGCTTGGGCAGGAGGCAGCGTCTCAGAGACATTGACGAGGACCTGACGTAGCAGCCTAGCAAATGCCAGTACACAAATAGCTAACGGTTGCTAAAGGTTGCTGCTTTTGATTGCCTGACAGCGAAGACTTTGTGGCAGAGGAGAGCTTCGGCGGACTGCCCTGTGATGTCGGCATCACCCTCTACACTGAGGCGCGGAGATCCACAAGCTTCGCCTTTGCGCCACGCCCCAAATGTCCTCGTTGACGAAGCATATGAAGCACAAGTCAGGAACCAAAAGCCAAACAACACGAGTCGCATAGGAGTGCACGCGAGCGAGGAAAACAGAGAACAGGATTGCAGAAGAAGGGTTATGTCTCCTGTTGTTCCACCCCACATTTCCCGTTTTCCCCAGAAGGCCCCGCTGCTTCCTCCGACCCTCCAAACTGAGCCACCGCAGCGTGAACTGCCGCACGCAATCGGTGCCAGGAGTGCGAACTCCAGCCGTGCGACATTCGGGACTGCATCCTCAGCTCCTGGACAGAGTGGTCCGGGTGTGTCGGCGCGGACAGGCCTTGAACACCCCAGTTTCCTTGTCACTGGTGTGCTTTTGGGAGTTTGGGTTGCGGAGCGGCATCTTGCTAGCATTGCTTTGGCCCAGCGTTCTTTTGCAGGCAGCAGTACCGGAGCCGACGAATCCTGCAGGCACATCGGCTTAGGTATCAGGCAAAATTCAGGATTTCAGGACGTTGACTGGCTCTGTGACACATGTGTGTGTGTGTGCCTTTGAAGATTGGGCCTCCGCGTGCACGACATGTGCCTGCAAGAGCAACTGCATGCATCTACTGCATCATGCTTCGGATGGAGGAAATCTTGCATGCTTGTTCCGTGGAGAGGTCCTCACGTGACACCGCCACTGTTGTGCAAGATGTCATGCATCCAGAGCTTTGCCTCCAAAGGGACCCCGTGGCGAGGGACAAGGATGTGACCCGGAGCTGCTCCAAACACAGGCGCGTTAAATCCCCAAGTTCTCTGAGTGAGATGTGAGCCACAGTGTGAGCTATGCATGCGAGGGGAAGTAGGAACGGAATGGGAACCATGAAGTTGCACATCGCAGGGCTGCCCGCCGGTCCTGGAGCGACCCTTGGCGTGACCCGCCAGACAGATATGCCTGGCTCGAGCCCGCGTCTGTTCGGTGGTTTGAGGGACTTTGAGGGCTTTGGTGGTCTCCCAACTGGTGTGGCTCCGAGAGTGCAAGCAGAAGAGTTGATCCCAGTGGAGCGCGAGTGGTCGCGGTAGGTTTCAGCATTGTATCCGGCTTTTGGTATGACCAAAGACCACATTCCACGTTCCAGGTATCTGCTCAGTGACTGGAGTGCATGGCAGCCTTGTACGAGGCAGGGCCCTGCGACAGTCCTGAAGGGATCTGAAGGGGTAGGTCATGGCGTGCCCAATATCTTGATATCAGGAGCTGTGGTGGTGGTCAGACCTTCCGGCAGCGCGCTGCGTTGGGACTTGCACGCTTTGATCCGGAGGCCCTCCGCGATTCCATGACGTGCTCAGAGCCGTGTTTTTTTGATCCGGAGAATTGTTGTTCCATGCTTTCCAGCTCATCGCTGCCTGCTATGTCTACATGCATGAGTTTCGTGATTGCAGAATTCCAGGTGGAGACCAACTATCCATTGAAGGCTGGGTAGCCCACTGAAAGAACAGTATTGCTGCAGCAAGATGTATATGTGCAGTGGGTCCGGTAACAGGAGACGAAAGATTGCAATTCTGATAGATGTGCCGCCCAGTACTCCAACGAGGACTTTGCAGATAGCTGAAATCGTCCTGAAGTCCACTTCTGATGTGCAATGAGGGTGTGCTGAGAAGATCTGAAAAGTACTGAAGGACTGCCTACTCTCGGAGTGGGAGGAATGGTCAGAGTGCTCCTCGAATTGCGGCGATGGTGCTAAGACCCGGCACCGCAAGATCCTGCGACTGGCTGGGCCTAACGGCAAGGGCTGTGAAGCGACAATGATGGAGTCAGACATCTGCAACCAGGGTGAGTGTGTACAGCAGGACTGCCAGTGGGGGGATTGGGCCGCCTGGTCTGCGTGCCCATGCTCTTGCGGCGGTGGGATTTCCACAAGGCATCGCTACGTGCAGGTGGCCCCGCGCAATGGAGGCCTGGAATGTGATCCCAGAGAGAAGGAAGAGGTGCAGGCTTGCAACACGCAGCCCTGTGAATCGGAATGCCGGGATGGCGCCTGGGGAGAGTGGATGGAGTGGACGACCTGCTCAGCAACTTGCTCAGGCAGCTTGAGGGTTCGCACAGAGTGCGTGCTGTTCTAGGTACTGAGGCACTCTAGTTCTTTGTCCTGTGGCATCCTCATGCATTGTCACCTGCTAGGAAGCTACAAGTCCCGCCGCCGGGATGTCCTCATCCCTCCCAATCACTGCGGCCAGCCTCCGACTGGGCTGCAAGAGGAGTTCGAAGCATGTGAGCACCTGCCAGAGTGTGCCGATGCAGCTGCTTTGCTGCAGTCGGAGGGAGTGGGATGTGGTAGGCTTGGGGACATGTAGTGGCAAGTGCACTGTTGTCTCGTCCCTGCCCGCATCGACTTTAAGCCCTTCCTGCCCTTCGTGCCACCGAGGCCGCTGTGCTGGATTGTGCGGTCTCCGACTGGGGGATGTGGTCCGACTGCAGTTGCAGTTGCGACGGGGTGCGAGAGCGGAATCGTTTCATCGCCATCTTTGCAAAGAATGGAGGGGCCCCTTGTCATGAGGATCTTCGGCAGATGGAAGCCTGTAATCCGACGGTAGATGAGGAAGAGCCTGCTGATTGCCCTGGCAAGAGGGTCCTTGAGCCTGTTGACTGTGTCCTGGCAGAGTGGACTGAATGGACCTACTGTTCCGTGAGCTGTGGAGGCGGGCAGCATTCACGGCACAGGAGCATCCTTCATAAGCCAGCAGGTGGGGGTGAAACCTGCAGGGGTGCGCTGGAGGTGACAGAGCCTTGCTACATGCCGCAGTGCTCTGGTCACGACTATGTGGACTGCCAGCTCGGATCCTGGACGGACTGGAGTGACTGCTCTGGCTGCCGGGGACAGAAGCGGCGGCATCGTTCTATTATGAAGCTTCCAGATGCTCTGGGACGGCAGTGTGCAGCTGCCAGGCTCAAGGAGACCACTGCCTGCTCAATACTTGGCTGTCATCAGACGACGTCCTACTGCACATGGTCACAGTGGACCGGCGCGACATCCTGCTTTGGCTATGGGTCAAGCACAGCCATGCGGAGTCGTGTCCTTACCGTCACGCATGACGAGCCGCTTGAGGGCGTGTTCTTCAACATGCTTGGTGATTCCAGCGCCTGCTCTAACATCGCCCAGGTGAATGTAACCTGGTGCCCGGGGCGGAACTTGGATTGTTACCCGCAGGACTGCATCTTCGGAGCATGGACAGATTGGTCTCAATCGACGCACTTCATGTGCGAGCGTCATCGCAACGTGGCCAGAAGGAACAATGAGTGTGGAGCGGGCTGCACTGGTCCTTTGGAGGAGACCAAGGTTTGCGAGACCCAGGAATTGCCACGAGATTGCCTGCTTGGAGACTGGCAGGAGTGGAGCTTCTGTGACACAGCCGACCCCAGCGGCCAGAAGTACCGTTTCCGGAAGATTCTTCACGAGCAGAGGTGGGGAGGCCAGCCATGCCTGGGAAGCCTGCACCAGACGAGGCCATGCTCTGCCAAGCAGGATCCCACCGACTGCAAGCTCAGCTCCTGGACGGAGTGGGGTTCCTGCAGCGAATCCTGTGGTCGAGGCTGGCACTCGCGCGAGCGCAGCGTTATCGAGGTCCCCATGGCGGGGGGCACCCGCTGTGCCGATGACCTGGTCGAGATCCAGCCTTGTTCCAGGTTCTGCGATCACGCCTTGCCCGTCAACTGCGAGCTGACAGACTGGTCAGCTTGGGGCCACTGCGACGAGGAGGGGCAGCGCTACCGGCAGCGGCATGTTCTGACCACCGCTGAGAATGGAGGTGATGGCTGCAGCGGAAACCTGCTCGAGGCCGAGTCCTGCGATTTGGCCAAGGTCGACTGCGTTGTCTCTGAGTGGGTCGAATGGAGTGACTGTGACCGCAGCTGTGGCACTGGTCAGCTGAAGCGCCAGAGACAGATCATTCACTTTCCCCGCAACGGTGGCGAGCTTTGCCCCAGCGAGCTGATTCAGACAACAGGCTGCAACTTAGGCTATTGTCCCACAACGAACTGTGAGGAGTCCCAATGGTCTGAGTGGGGCGACTGCTCTGTTTCCTGTGGTGTTGGGGAAGAGAAGCGCGAGCGGAAAGTCGCAATGCTCCGATCATCCGGAGGAACTGGCTGCGAAAACGCCATGGCCGAAAGCAGGCCTTGCCACAGCATCCCTTGCAGCGTCCGTGCCTGCGAGCTTTCTGCCTGGAGTGCCTGGGGTGAGTGCAGTGCGACTTGTGGCTCGGGGCAGCGCGGCCGAACCCGGAGCGTGAAACCGCCAGAGAACGGTGGAGACTACTGTGAGTCTGCACCTCTGGCTGAGATGGAGGGCTGCAAGGATCGGCCCTGCACCAAACAAGTTTGTGTTGATGGCAAGTGGGGTGACTGGGAGGAGTGGTCCCCGTGCGATGTCTCTTGTGGGGGCGGAACCACCTTCCGCAGGCGCCACATGACCCAGGCAGCCAATGAGTGCGGGAAGCCTGCAGAGGGCTTAAGCAGAGAGCAGGCCTTCTGCAACGTGGACCACTGTCACGCAGCACAGGACTGTGTCTTGCCTGAATTAGCAATATTTGCTGGTCTGTCGCTTCTTTTTCCACGCAAACACAGAAAACACAGCGACTTCATGTCGAGGCGTCCTCTCAGAGTGGTCTTCCTGGTCTGAGTGTTCAGCGACCTGCAATGGAAATCAGAAGCGCGAGCGATCCATCATCCAGCACGGGAGATCTGGTGGAGTCCTCTGTGACGGTGATATCCATGAGACGCAGCCCTGCAACCCCGGCCTCTTTGATGTCTTCCCAGAAGGATGTGGCCAAGAAGAAACCAAGGACCAGCAAGATGTGGCTAAGAGGAGGGCAGCGGGATTCTGAGGTTGCCAGCAGCGTGCTTCGTCTTCGGGGAACATGGGAAACGGGACTGCGTGCTGCGAGTTTGACCCTGTGTAAGTGTGAGCCCCTCTCTGCGAGGACTGCGAAATGAGCGATTGGACCGAATGGTCTGAGTGCAGTGCTACATGTGACGGTTGCGATCTCAGTGATTCAGCTCGCTTTGTGTGCACCACGAGCTTCCATGGGACATCTGGACAGTGGTGTGCGTTTATTCAATGAATCCTGAATCCTTTGTTCAGCAAAGAATCCCAACTCTGCCCAGGCCACGCAACACAATGAAGACTAGACAGTGGATGTAAAAGCGTTTGAAGAACGAAGCCAAGCCTTAAGAGAGGACTTAGTAAGACAGGACAGCAGAGCCCACTTGATTTGAGTCGCTTGCGAACGTTGAAGAAAACCTAGAGCCTAGCATTCTAGGAGATTTGCGACGCTTTCGCATGTCTCAAAACACGAGAACCATATAGGAAAAGTTATGTTCGTGGTCGTGGTTGTGGTCATGGTCGTGGTCGCAGTCGTGGTCGTAGTCGTAGTCGTAATGGTAGTCGTGCTGGTAGGTAGCAGTGGTAGTAGTGGTAGAAGTAGAAGTAGAAGTAGAAGTAGAAGTAGAAGTAGAAGTAGAAGTAGAAGTAGAAGTAGAAGTAGAAGTAGAAGTAGAAGTAGAAGTAGAAGTAGAAGTAGAAGTAGAAGTAGAAGTAGAAGTAGAAGTAGAAGTAGAAGTAGAAGTAGAAGTAGAAGTAGAAGTAGAAGTAGAAGTAGAAGTAGAAGTAGAAGTAGAAGTAGAAGTAGAAGTAGAAGTAGAAGCAGAAGCAGAAGCAGAAGCAGAAGCAGAAGCAGAAGCAGAAGTAGAAGTAGAAGTAGAAGTAGAAGTAGAAGTAGAAGTAGAAGAAGTAGAAGTAGCGGGAGCAATAGCAGTAGCAGTAGCAGTAGCAGTAGCAATAGCGGGCTGTGATGCACACAGCCGTAGCTCAGGTGGTGCCAAGGTCAAGAGGAGGGCGATCGTGCAGGCGCTTTCTGTGACACACATGATGCATGAGCTGTGCACCGCTGAGGAATCTCGTATCGTAGCACGCAATATCCCTGGATTCCTGGATTCTTGTATGCTTTGAATGCTTGGAAATCCATCCCTGTGACAGCATCGCGCCAACGGCGGCAGACCCTGCACAGGCGGAGGGTTTCACAGTGTCACAGGGATCTCCAAATCGCCAAGACAACACAGATTTTCAGATTGTGACGTTAGATAGCATCATCAGCAGCGGCCGTGTCCCCCCCTCGTGCCCCTCCGTTTTCAATATTTGTGTGTGTGCATTGACCTGCAGGCTCTGTCACCAAGATCCAGGGCTGTGCAGAGGACCAGTGCGAGGGCGGAGACCCGGTGCCCTGCGAGTTTGGCGATTGGAAGGATTGGGCTGCCTGTGACAAGTGCGACGGGGAGCGGAAACGGAAGCGCAACATCAAGCAGTACGCCCAAAATGGCGGAACCAACTGCAATTCCTTTGCGGGCGAAGAGGTCGACAAATGCCCTCGATCCTGCACGCCTGGGTTCTGCACTTGGAGCACGTGGGGAGATTGGGGCTCCTGCCATGGATGCGGACGAAGTGCCCGTCGAGAGCGGACCCGTGAACTCCGCGCTACAGAGAACTTGGCAATGCGACAGCCTCCCATGAGCGAGACCAAGGTGGAGAAGCTCACCCTGCACCACAGCCTCACAGCTGCTCGGGATGAGTACACCGCGTTAGTGGCGGAGGTTGGGGCGTTGCGGACCGCTCGCGCGCACAAGCTCGTGCTAGCATTCGGGCTCGGTCTGATGAGCATACCTGTGGGTTTCGCCTTTCTTCGATTGCTGCCAGCACTACGTGCCAGAACAACTGGGTACTCAACGTTGCTGCCGATGGGAGCAGAGTGAATCCAAGCGGACACATCCGCACTTTGTAGGAATGTACTGCCGGGACCTGAAACAGGTCCCGCAAGAACAGGCTTCTGAGCGCCCTAGATAAGACAGATGATAGGACCGAAGGCATGGCAATACTGACCGTACAACAAAAGCTCCGAAGTTTTCACCCATGACCGTTGATACGTAGCTCAAGTTTGGCAAAGTCCAACATTCTCTCGACTTTCACGGAACCAGTCCTGACAGATCAAGAACGAGTCTGTGCCCTTGGGTTATTGGTGACTAGTGACTCGTGAAGGTCTACCCAGGTCAGCTAATTCGCAGACCGGTATGCCAATGTCGCATCACGTCCAGCGCTTGTCGGCTATGGAAGGCCGCAAATCTGCAATCGAGTATAGCGCAGGTGTTCGGGCACTCCTGCTAACGCTTTGTATTCTTGAGCTTGCCAGAGGAGTTGCCCTGATGCCAAAAACGAGAGTTCACGCAGTTCACGACTGCAGAGTTGGCTTGCGAGATGCCACTGCCTTTTCCTTCTTTCGTGGGTCTGTAGTAGCAGCTTCCCGTTGCCGTAAAGGATGCCAGACATGTTGGACGATACTGGAGCTTGAGCACACATTCTACACAGCCACGAAGCAAAGAAACCAAGTAAGGTTCGAAAAGTTTCCCGCTCTCCTCCCCGACGAACGAGCCATCCGCAGCATCTCCACGGCTAGAATCTATGTACCTGAGGCTGGGTTTCGGGTCCCGAGTGCTCGCCTTGGGGCATGCTAAGGCCGAAGGGCGGGGCCGGCACCCGAAGTGAAAACAGCTGCTGCTTGTCATGATCAGCGCAGAGCCATCGACTCGCGGCCTGTCGTTTCGGTTGGGGGAGCCGCACGCGAGGACACATGTCTTTACTCGTACAGCCTACGGGATCCAGCAGCTTGCTGCGAGGAAAGAACGGCTCTTATCCATTCACCTCTGCATGAACTTGCAGATGCAGTTCAGCTCATCATCGTGTCGCTACAAGGGTCGTAAGCCTCATGATCGCTCCACATAAACGACTGTAATCACGATCAGCATTATGAGTTGGCCATTGGAGCCATGGAAAAGTCATTGAAGCAGAAGAAGAAGAAGGTGCCAGACTTCACAGCAATTGAGTTCTTAGGTTGTGCAAATTCGAGCTCTGCGGAATCATGCAAGCTTGCGAGTGCAATCCTAAGCTTTGACAACATGAAGGTCGAGGGCTTCAAGCGGTCCCTCACCGCAAATGCCATTTCGAACACCATCCTAATGCCGGACATGTTCCCTGTGTCAAAAAACGCCCAAGCTCTTCACTCATGGAAGGCTAAAAAGCCCACTGTGGACGAACCGACCCGGCCGCTGAAGTGGAGAGCTCAGTGGGGCTGAATCATTGAAGAAGCTTTCTCAATACGAGAGCTGATCTCAGCCAGAAGCTGTAGGGCTGAAGCTGCCAAAGTCCGGGTCGGCAATCGATTGATGGTTTGGGTGTCCCGAGTTTCCTACCCATTCCATGCCTGTGACATGGCACGTATCCTGGACCCCTCGAAGTCGCAACGCACGCAGCAGTAGAAGGTTCTGCTGTTTTCATGGGAGTCACATGCGCCCCATAGGCTACTCCAAGTCTGGATTTGGGCTTGTGGATTTTTCAAAAAGGGTGGCACTTTGAGTCTCCAAAAATCGGGCAACGGGCCACCCCTGCCCTCAGGTACAGCTTGGCTGCAAGTCGTAGGTCGGGTGTTCTTCCCATTCGATCCTGTTTCGCCAAGGATTCCAAACATCTTCAATCTCGTCTGACAATAAACACGCACACACACACACATAGCCGTAGCCGCTAGCCTTGAGATGTGAGAAAAGCTCGTCAAGCTTGTGAAGCCCTTTCGCTTCGCGCCACATGCATCGGTTGGGCATTTGTTGAGGAAGACGAAGAAGAAGGTGGAAGAGGGTAGAGGCGGAATGCTTTGGTTTTCGAGTTTGGATTCAGGAATTCGGGGGTTTTTGGTGTGTTCAGGACGTTGCTTTTTTTTGGGCTTTGATGTTTTCGGTGTCGGAGCGGAAGTCCAGAATGCAGTTTTGAGAGTTGTGGCCTGCTCTCAGCTGTCGCGTTCTTGGCTCCTCTCTTCAATGAAAAACACCTTTGAGCGCAAGCCGCTCTAGTGGCAAAGCCTCGCATGGCAATCCGTCCAGTCTGTGACAGAGCCTTGGGGCTTCACAGGGAGGAGTGAAAATCTTCCACGACAGCCGTACTCAGCGAAGCGCAAGAATGCACGAGCAGCGACATTGAAGCCCTCCTTGGCTCTGCACGCCCAGACTGCCAGATAACAAGTTTTTAGTCGAACCGAGTCATTGCTGCAGGTGTAGGTCATATAGGCTTGCGGCCTCAAGAACTACTTGCGGAGGTCCTTCAGATGCGGAGGCCTGGGCTGGACAGCAGTTCACCTGAGATCGCTTGGCTTGGCGGATGCTCTGGCGTGCACGTTCGAAAGCACGAGGCCCCAGCGAAGATTAAGAAGGCTCCGAAGCGAAAAGCAGGACCCCTCGGGAAGAGGGAAAGCACGCACACGCTTGCGCACACGCTTACGCACACGCTTACGCACACGCTTACGCACACGCTTACGCACACGCTTACGCACACGCTTACGCACACGCTTACGCACACGCTTACGCGCACGCTTACACACACTCCTACGCACACGTTTACGCACACGCTTACGCGCACGCCTATGCGCCCACTTATGCACACGCTCAAGCGCACGATTACGCACATGCTTGGGCGCAGGCTTTGGCACACGCGGGCATTCGCGCGCACGCGCACGTGCGCGCGCTCTGCTTTACCTGAACGCAAGCCCCAAGCTCTCGACAGTCGACAGGAGTAGGAAGATGCAAGTAGTCTTGTCTTATCCTCCCGCAAAAGGCTAAGTTCAAACGACCTCCGTCGCTGATTCAGGAGACATTGATACGCCAGACTCTGCAGAGGCCTCCAAAACGAAGGCTGGGAGTTGCTGGCTGATGTTGTTCTAGGCCAAGCGGCTTTAGGAGCATCAAGACGCATCACCCGTTTTGCAGACAGTCTTAGAGTGGGAGTTTGACGATACCATCTGCATCGGAGACCTCTGAGCAAGGATCAGTGGGACGAAACAGCGATAGACCGGAGATTGTCAATGTCTTGGACGGTTCATCATGTGAGTGATGAGAAGTCAAGAGAGAGCACCGACCTGCGAACTGTACAGTACGGTGTTGAATAGTCTTGGAAATAGCTTGGGAGGTGCCAAGTAGGGGGCCATGGGGTGGGGAGGCCAGGGGGGGAAGGGTTCGACGTGGCAGTAGCGGCTTTTGGTGAGGGAGGTTTTGACACCGGTCAGGGTGCTCGGCGGGGATATAGGTGCATTGACACATGCGTGATCGTTCCACCAAACACAGTAGCTAACGGCCTGTTTTGCATTTGCAAGCAGGCTTCTTGGAGCAAGAAGAAGCAAAAGAATGCAGGCTGGAAGTAGTCCAGTCCACGATACTTGCTTGCATACAGCAATGCCGGTTCCAGCGGAGTGCATGCTTTTTGCAATGCAGACACATGAGACATGCGGACAACAACATATTTGGCATGTCCAAGCCATGCTGTTCAACAGGCGGTGACAGCGAGACAGCAGCAAGCCCAGCGGTTTCTCAGAAGTTTCATCAACTTGATTCGATTGCGCGGCTGTAGATCACAGTCCCATGGGCATTCCATCTTCCTGCGAAGGTGCCTGCGGATAGCAAACCTGCAGGCATTCCAGCCATTATGCTGAAGATCGCTTCACAGCAATTGCAATTTGTGTTGTGGATACTGTAAGCGTGGAACGCATGTTCCCAGGAAGTAACTCAACAGTGTTCGTGGACGGAGTGCCGTATGCCATGGCCTTGGTGATGCCTTCTGCGGGTTTGAGTCTGTCTGCCTGTAGCACAAAAGTCCTATGATGCCCTGGAAAGCAGTAAGGTCTGGGGGGGGGGAGGGGGGAGCCGGGGTCGGGAAATTGAAGGCCCCAGAAAGAGCAAAAAACCTTGCAATCGGGATGTTTCTACAGTTACAGGAGGTGGCTTTAGGGGGTCTTGGAATGACGAAGTAGCGGGACAAAGATGATCATGAGTATTCAATGAAGTCTTTGCAGTTGAAGTGTGCGATTCCTGAACCTGATCTGCAGCAATCATCTTCTTGCCGTGCTGTGTGCTTGTATCTGCCAACGTTGTGCCACGGTTGTTTGCCCCCACCCCCCCTCCCCCACCGCCGTCCCGTCCCCGCCATCTCCAAAACCTGGAGTACTCCCTGGCTTCCATTGATCTCGTTTCAGCGGAGGGAACTTCACTGGGCACATCTAGATGCTCATAATACAAAGCCCTCCTTTTGCTTCAATGTACAACCAGCAAATCAAGCTGAAAGACTTGCTCAAAGGACTGGTCCAAAGAGCAACTCTCCGAGTTCTTTCGCAAGAAGTGCGGCGCTGGCCCCTTCAAAAACCGTTGGGGGAGTCTCAGCCCAGCATTTTTACACGCTGAGGTGAGGTGACCGAAGTCCGGGCACCCACTTGGCAAGACTCTGGGCGTCTGCGCGCCTTCCTCAAAGGAAAGACATGTCGCGCAAAATCGCGCAGAGTCACGCTTGCTGTTCCCTGGCAACCGGTGGAATTCTTCCAGGCGGCTATGCTCACGTGGTGCTGGGCAGCGAAGGGAGCAAAGCCAAAGCCCTGGCGCTGAACGGAACCAAGGTGGGCAAGAAGGCGGGAGAGCACTCGGAGACTGCAGTCTACTCTAAGAGTCTACTCAATAACATCAGCTGATTCTGTTCTTGGCTTTCGGATTGCTTTCTTTGCACAGAAGTCGTGCTACAGTGACCTCCCAAAAGTTGGAACATCATAATCCTCATACCCCACAATTGAGTCTTTGAGCTCGTATCGAATCGTGCTGTGGCGGAGGGCCGCTACCTGAAGATCGAGCCTGCAAAGGAACCAGGCGAAGGCTGTCAGACTCAATGCACCACCAACCATCATCGCACAATCGTTGTGCGATGCCATCTGCACCACAACGTTTGTTGCAGTGGTTCCGGTTCCTGTCACAGGCAAGTCTGTCGCCGGAGCGCCCGGTGACCTGGAGGGCAAGCGCCGGTGCCTCAATGCTGGCTCTTTCAGCGAGTGGTGAGATGGTGAGATGTTTGCAGAAGGCCGGCTCTTTGTGAAGAACCTTCCGTACAGTGCGACAGAAGACGACATTGCAAAGCTTTTCGTCAAGTGCGGCAAGGTGTGACCCAGCGATGCCAAAGGTTCTCTGTCTCTTCCACCTGTGAGCGGCAAGGTGGTTGAAATACGAATTCCACATCAAGCCGGAAGGTCCAAGGCCGAACGGGTGTCCAGTCACGAAATGTCACGAACAATCGATATCAAAACCGCTCCTACTACACTTGGAAGAGCAGCACGTCCTTGTCTTGCAGGGCTTTGCTTATGTGGAGTTTGCCAAAGCCAAGGCGGCTTTGCGATGGACGGAGCATGTCACTAGGAACTACGTACGTCGATGGAGATCATCGTGATCCCTTGTTTCATCAGGGCCTTCTGGCTGCTGTACAGCTAGACCCTGCCCCGACGTTGGCGACTCTGGTTGGTGCAGGGTTCCACCTGTCAAGCTGGTCCAGTACAAGTAAGACGATAGTGGCACCTTGTCATCCGGTTCAATATGCTTTCGACCCTGTATTCAGACAAAGGTTACAGGGGCGCAAGTTGTTGCTGGATGCAGATTCCGGAAGTGGGTGTGATCCTGAGAGCCGCGTGTGGCTAGGACGGAGATTAAAAAGATGTTTGGAACGCTTGAACATGCTTAAACATTCTCTGATGGAGGGCGGTGGCCAAGGCCCAAAGCTGGTTTCCATCATCGGGCCGAGGTGCACATCTTAGCTGAAGATGCGCCGACTTGCAACTACTGTGGGCTGCAGAGCGTTTCTGCAGGCGTTCCACTCAAAGTTTGGCCCGGCGAAGCTTGCAGGACAGACAGCAAAACAGGTGCAACCCTTGCATGCGGCATCTCATGCATGGATTGGCATGACGACCGCTGCAGGCAAAAGCAAAAGAGCCGTCCGAGCCTCAGATCGGCAGGCTGTCTATATTGCTTCCCTTAATGAGGTGGCATTCCTCCCTCAACCGCCCTCCTGCGTCTAGAGTCGAGAGAGAGGCGAACTTCCATCCAAGGCGAACGGGGGCGACCAAGAAGCTGTCCTTACTTTGAACAAAACGATGGTGATACGAGCGATCTTCATGAATTCCCTTGTTAAATTTTATTTTCTTCTGGGTAATAT